ATAAATAAATAAATAAATAAATAAATAAATAAAAAAAAAAGAGTACCCAGCCCAAATGAGACCTGCACAGGAGGCTGTGAAAATAACACCTGAGCGTATGAAGCTGAAGAATCTCCACCGTTAGAAGCAGTTGCCAGGGAATGGCTAGTGAAGACACAGCAGGCTGGAAAAGGCTGAGCAGGTGCTATAGTGAATTGTGGAGATTAGTGATGGCACTGCAATTACTTATACTTGCATGTCATGTGTATAAGGGGCCAATAAATCTATTCACCAATCCAAACCCTGTATATAGTCACACATATTACATGACAATATGATTTCAAATACACCCCACAAAAAAAAAAAAAAAAAAAAAAAAAAAAAAAAAAAAAAGAGCATGGAATGTCTTTAAAGCAATGATGCACAATTTTCTTGGCATGCATCCCCTTACATACCACAATAAGGACTAAGACTGAACAGAAACAAACGTGGGAATGGTAACGCGTTCCACTTTTTGAAATGGTTACGATGAACATGTAAAAATTTCAAATTACAGTAATTCTGCATTAAGCACAAAAATTTTTTACTGTTTTCCATTTTTAATATGTAAACTCCTTGTTCCTATATACACTTGGTCATCGACTTACGACCGACTTCCGTTCTGACTGACAGGTCATAAGTCAATCTGGTCGTATGTCGGCCATATATTTATTAACAGTATTTTTTAACCTTTCTAATCTTTTTATCATCTTTATAATTTATTTTTAAAAACTTTTAGATTTTAATCATTTTTTATTTTCCCCCCCTTTTTTTTTGTGGTCATAAGTGCAGCCGGTCGTAAGTCGACGACCAAGTGTACTCTGAAGTAGCATACGCCTACTACTGACAAAAAGCTCGTCGTGAAACAATACCTGAAGACGTGGATCTAACCCTTGCAGTGGGTGCCTAACCCCTACTGGGCTACGAATCACAACATTGCTTTGGGATGGAAGTCTCGGCCTTGCCAGGGCAGGCGGCAATGGCTGACGGAAGGTACCATCTGTATTTGTTGCAGTGACAGGATGTGGTGATGTTGGGGCCTGTTGCTGGACTACTGGTCCGCCTCCTGGAGATTCAAAGTGAACAGCTGTCTGGGAAACTGCAGAGGCCTGCTGGTGGATCCCCCCATCCTGGCCGTCTGTATCACACAACAATACAGCAATATCAGATGTCTCCTTACTTAACTCTTCCCACTGCTACAGAATAATAAATGCAGTCTACTGTCTCACTAATGCTGTTCTGTCATCACAAACCCTGCCACTTCTGCTGTCCAACTGGAACTGCTCTGTTCCAAGATCCATACGGTCAATGAACATTCCAATGCCAGGCAGTAAAAAGCAGTGAGGACAGAAAGGAATCGCAAAGTTTAGCATAAACAGAAAATGGGCATCAGCAGCACAATCATATGATTACAGGGAACCATAGAAGAAAACTCGGATTCTACATCAGAGATTTTTTAAGATTTCCCCCCTCTACTCCACGACTACATCAACGTACACAACGGGACATACAGCATGTGGAACTTGAACTTGACTAAGTGAACAGATAAAACACGTTCTTCTGCCAACTGAAGAATGCGATGTTCAGTGAAATGACTCTGTAACAGAACAAGAACTACACAATGTATAACAATAACACTGGTGCATTTATAAGTGACTGTTACATATAACCTACATTATTAGTTAAAGTAAAGTAAAGGTTTCCTTGTAACAGGCCATGGAGGCCCATAGGGTTGTGAGATGTTGACATTCCCACACTTTCCAGACAATCGTCTCATAGATGGCGGCAAGGTTGTCAGCCCTACGTGCCAGCCACCGTTTACCCCCAAGAACATTACAAGAATATTCCTAGTAATCATTTCTGCTATAGGCTGAGTCGACACCTTGGCCATAGTGCGGCTGGAAGGATTAGGTACTAAATTGAAAAAATCCAATGACCTCATCGGGACTTGAACCTGCAGCCTTCACTGGATTAAAAGTTTCTATTTACAATTCATTACAATAGATGGACAAATGTGACCATTATACAGTACAGGCTAACTAACACTTGCTATTCTGTCATTATCCACGTAACAGCCTGAGTTCGTAGTATATGCACAAACTTATTTATCAGTTTCACGAAAGTGACTAAGTTTAGGGCCAATCCACCCTCAGATGTTTGCTTCAGTCACCTGTTGCTTCACTGTCATTCTGCATGGTCAACAACCACAATCACAGCTACACCCGGTACCTTTTGATACACTATCTGCTTTCACATATGTTAAGTCCTTCCTTAATATGATCGTCCATTTTAATATTGACAGACACTTAGGTTAAAGAGGCACAGAATCTCCTTCAATTCAATAAACAATAAGTTTGAGAGTACCATCGTCCAGGATGAGGGCTCACTCTGCTTGCTGCTACATTGGTTTATTCTTTGACCCTGAAGATGGAGGCAGTATGTTGCTCCAAAAGCTCAGTCAACTTCTATCACAGTACCCAGCACCACACACTATCAGCGTCAGCACAGAGTATGTTGTAAGATGTGACTCCCCTTCATAGCTTCAGTGTCAGCTTATGACTTGAGCTTGAGCCATGCACCTTTCTCTCACCTACTACTGCTGGACAGTGTGACACGGCATGGATGTTAGTATACACTGACATATATACTGCATTCAAATCCAATATTTGATCCTCATGTGAATGTGGTATGAGAGTGACAGTTGGGGGAATATACATACCCTGCTCTCAAGCAGTTAGTAGCTGGCTTCCCACTGTGGCAGCCAGGGTTCGATCCCGGGTCTGGTTAAGTGGGATCTGTAGTGCACAAAGTGGCGCTAGGGCAGGTTTTCTCCGAGCACTTCAGTTTCCCCTGCCGATCTTCATTCCACCAATTGCTCCACAATCACCCTCACCTATCATCTGGGGCTGGTACAATAGGCCAGAAGTGGACGCAGTACAAGGGACTTAGTCCCACCCCACTAGCAATAATAAAAAAAAATACATACCCTGCTGGCTCCATAGTCTGGGCTGGCTCTGTACAACCTGATCTTGCTCCAGTTTCTTGATCTGCTGCTGCCTCTGCAACAGATCTCGAAGCTGCCTGTTCACCTCAGGACCTTGCTGCGGCTGTTGCTGACTAAATGTTTCACCTTCTGTTCTAGATCTTGGCACTGCAGGCTGCTGGGCATAAAGGTCAACTTGCTGAGGTCTTGGTGTAGGTGGCTGGTTTGCATAAGGATCCTGAGGTCGCGGAGTTGGAATCTGCTGCACATAGGGGTCGATCTGGGCAGGGCGAGGAGTTGGTGGCTGCGATGTGTATGGATCTTGCTGCTGTTGGATTCTAACAGGTGCATATACAACTTGAGGGGTTGGTCTGGTGCCCCCAGGTCTAGGGGTGGCTGGAGACTGTGCATATGCGTCTGAACTGGGGCGTGCAGTAGACACATATACAGGACTTCTCTGAGGCTGGGGCCCGCTGCTAATAAACTCAGGCCTTGGTGTGTGCGGTGGCTGTCCATAAGGATCTGACGGTGGTGTTTCAGACGGAGTATGCTGAAAATGATCTGCCTGGAGCGCAGCAGCTTGGGGAGTGGTGGGTGTTCCAGATGAGACAGGAAACTGCTCATGAGGTGACTGAGGAGAAAATGGAGAAGGGGGCTGGGATCCAGCTGAAAATGGGAGACGTGCTGCAGTGAATGGTTCTGGTGTACGAACAACAGCTGTGGGAGCTCCACGGGGAAGAGTCAGCATAGTTGGACGCGTAGGTGCTAACATCTCTGGGCGCCCTGTGGGATGGGGTGGGGGTAAGGGAGGAGGGAGGTTAGTGTGTGGAAATGGGCCTGTACTGCCAGGGCTCTGTGGAGTATGAACTCGGGCCACCTTGACCTGAGGAGCTGGGAACTGTGCTCGCGACCCTGGCGATGGAGAAGATAGAGGCGCCATTGTGTTCGGATCCTGAAGCAGAAAACACTCCCAAATTAACATCTACACAACTGAATACTAATGTTATTATTGTACTTTTGAAACTATGGTTATTTCATTGTAGATATCTACATGTGAAGCAAAATCATCTTACATCATTTTCCATTATTTCTACCACATTGAGCTCTGTGAATAAACATCAGGGAGTATACTATTTATATTGAACCAGTGGCATGCTTTTAAATAATGGAACCAAAGGAAAAATAGGATTTCTTATATACAAATTTGTCCACCAGCACTTTCCAAAATTCTTGGTTCCCCAGCAAAACAATACAACAATGATTTTTCAAGTACAGAGTTTTCAATGTTACCTGTGCAGTTGAAACTTGTAACTGAGTTGTAAGAGATGACGCAGGTTGGTCAGCAGAAAACGGTACTCCATCAGCACTCATCTGGCGATGAACACGAGCCATGGCTGTAAGGGTAAGGAACACACTTGATGTTAATACTGCATTAGAATGGACTTAGTATAATTACATTTTCTTGTCCACTGCCATAGAAATATCACTTTTATCTTCCACTTTCAAAGCTGTCAGTATGTGTTTCATACATATGGGGCTGACACCTCATGAACATTTATGACACAATGGAATTAATGGCAGTGAGTGAAATTTTGAACATGGCGAGTATATATTCTAAATGAAAGCACTGTCAGGTATAATAATAGCAAAGACAACTGAGGTGGACCTTCAGCTCAACATGGGACGGAGGCTGATATTGTCTGTACACACAAAGTTTTCCCTTTATTATGAGAAGGCAAGGGAAGGCCCAGGGGATGACTGTGAGTAGGCAGCCAGCAGCTCACCCCCAAATCACCTGGTTCCCTCATTCACTTCTTTTTTAACCATTTATGAAGGGGGACCCAAAAAAAACAGAATTTGTTTCTAGAAGGCTTGTAGTACAGGTTTCCACCACTAGGTGGTTGTTTGCAGCACCTTCCTGAATCAGTATACCAGCTGCTGTCATCAGAGAAGTTTCCGTAGTGTTTGGTGACTTTTTCATAATTAATGGCCGATTCACACGAACGTGCTTCTGTGAAGTTTTGTTTTCTTTTTGGGAAAGCAGCAGCAGAAACAGTTGTTATGCTACAAACAGCCTACAAGGCAGCCACCATGAGTAAAACACAAATTTATGAATGGTTCTCCAGTTTCAAATGTGGTGAAATGTCAACTGATGATCAACCTCGAAGTGGACATCCTTCGACAGCCTGAATTCAGGAAAACGTGACAAAAATTTGTCAAATCATTCTGGAAGATCGCCAGAATAATTATTTGGAAGTTTTGAAAAGGTTCCATAACAGTTTAAGGAGAAAACGTCCCGATCTGTGACGAACAGGTGAATGGTTCTTTCATCACGACGAGGCTGCCCACACAGCGCTGATTGTGCAGCAATTTTTGACCAAAATTGGCATGACACCCTTGCTCCCCCCCATACTCACCCAATCTTTATTTCCTCAGATGAAGAGAGACCTCAAGGGAAAACGTTTTGTTGATGCTGAAGACGTAAAGAAAAAAACGACCGAAGCACTAAAAGGCATCACCAGCGATGAATTTAAAAAATGTTTTGAGCAATGGAAAAAACGTTTGGACAAGTGCAGTCAATCAAATGAAGAGCACTTTGAAGGGTATTAAAGTTTTGTTATGTAAAAATACATACAGAATTTTTTATAAACAAATTCCAGTTTTTGTTTGGGTCCCCCCCCTCATACATCGATGTGGTTACTGCGTGGTGTTTAGTGTGATTCTCATGACAAACATTTCCCTAAACAGCATTAATTGGTAGGTCGCCGTTACATGGGTGTGCTGGTTAGTTAATTAGTTAGCTGGCTTAACTTGTGCCCTCTGGTCATGGATGGTCTGCTGCTGCTGCTGGGCCTGCTGCTGGCGCAGGGCCTGAAGCTGCTTCCACTGCCGCTCTTGCTCTGCCTCCCGACAAGTCTTCTGTTGCTGCAAGATCTTCTCCTGGTCCTGCAAACACACACACAGCATGTGTACTTCTGGCCACACCACTTGCAAATGCTCAACCAGTGGCAACTCCTTCAGCATTACGAACAGTCGGGGGGCAGCACAGTAATAAATGAGGGGAAAAATAATTCCATTTCCTGTTTTCCATGTTCAAACCGCCAGGCTCATTTAATGCCCTCAAATCCTACACTTTGTCACACACGTGACATCTACAACCACTAAATATCTACAGAGCTCAACAGTCTGGGGAAATTCTGACATTTTTCTAACCTTCTTCCTCCATAAAAAGTGTACACAACAATCAAGAGAAATGCAACTTATGACTTACTTTAGAAAAATGAAGCTTTGACAAACCTGCTAATGTATTTTAGTTTTCTCTTTGGAATCTTTAAACATTCAGTGGGACTTAATTTGTGATCCTCCTCAGTTATAAAAATAATAAATTTCTATTCACCAAACGCATATCAAATCTAGAATTTCTGTTTCAGTATTAGTAACCAGTTCTCCAAGTTACACAAGTGATACTGAAACTGATCATCTCATTATGAAATGGATGCAGTGTTATGAGTACAAATGAACTTCCTCCATTCACTGAGTGCTACTACACTCCACAAGATACAATTCTGACAAAATAAAAAATTTGAGGTTACTATCATCTGGGATGTGATAACACATAGTCTGGTAGATATTTACTGATGTGTCGGAGGTTCGTCTCGACTCTGCTCCTCGCCTTCCCTTCCTTACAACATTGACCATTTTTCCCAACACAGAACTCTTCTGCACTGGTGAAGGCAGCAGCAGGACTGTCCAAAATGCTGGGAAATATGTACCAAACTACACAGCATCACATCCCACAAGCCTGTGATCTTCTTATCCATTAGTTGACAGAACAAATTTCAATCATAACTGAAGTCTGTTTACCGACCTAGACTGTGCTACTTGATATGATCACTTGGTTGAGAATTTACAGTCATCATATAAACCTTACACCATGTCCAGAGTTTTAGTTGCGTGCACCACTACACACCATTGCTCATTACATATACAGCATGTTAAATGGGACGTCCTGACTTCAAGACCATGGAAGGGTCTGCAGACAGACAACTGTATTGAGGTAAAAGTATGCTTACATAAGAACTGACAGGCATTTAATAAGACTCCTCCACCACTCCAAGATGGTTCTATCAAAAGCCATATGTATACACTATATGCTTTACTCATTTAATATGTGCCAGTCAACTGGCCACAGAACTGCATTGTGCTTTTTGGCTACACATCACACTATAGCAACTGAAATTACAGCAAAATGCCACATGGAGTACTCTCCATCTGTCTAGCTGATAGTGGGGTCACCATGCGCAAGGTTACGCATGGTGAACATGTGTTGAATTTAGTGAGGCGAGTGAAAGTAAACTGACACGTGTATACATGGCTGCAAAAACAAAGAAAAATGCGTTTCTGAGGAACTGGAGTGCATTAAGAAATAACGACTCAGCATGCCAGTGTCAACTCCAAACATTATGGAGAACATGAGAAACGCACCTCAGCAAAGTGTAAGTACTTGTCCAGGCAGAAAAAGAGTTAGGAACTTCTAAATATAAGAAGACTCAGTCAGTGGTGCTAGAGTGGTTTAGGCTGAAAGAGCCATTATATACACCAATTAAAGGTCCAATATTAAGATAAAAGGCTGAAGAAATAGCCTTAAAACTATATACTGAAATCATACTTTCAAACGAATGGCATCATCAGTTCAAAAAACATGCAGGTCTTGCCTACAGAACCAAGTAATGAGGAAGTAGGTGCCTGGAAGATAGGAGCGCTTTCTTCACTTCAGTATGAATACAATCCAAAAGACATATTTACCGCAGACGAGCGCAGGTTATTTTCCAGCCTACTCCCATCCCATCACATCACAATATGCTTTCAAAGATGACAGATGTCGCAGGGGGCAAGAGAAATGAAGAGAATTACTGTGCTTAAATGTAGAAATATGAATGAATCTGAAAAGATGTCACTGCTAGTAAGTGTGTAATCAAGAGGAGCCATGAACTTTAAGCATGGGAAGTCCCTGCCATGTACTCGTATGTACAGAAAAAAACCGCTGTGCATGCATAACTTCAGCAGTGCTCATGGAGTTCCCAACATGTTTCGAAAGGACAAGGTCTGACTTCAAATTTGTTTGAAAGACATATAAAACAAAATAATACTAGACACATGTTCCAAGAAAGGATAATATTTTAGAAGACAAGTCAACTTTAATCATGACAGGAGGAACATGCAATGTATCTCTGAAACTGTGTACAAATATGTTTACTGCATTAGTTACCTACAAAGGGATACAATTAATTTTGTAAGCCTTCTGAAGCCTGTCATTTAACATGTTTTCCTGCATAAGAAATTACACGTCTTGGCACCTTAGAAAACTTCTTAGAAGGAATCCACTGCAATGTGGTACTGACAAGGAGAGCACCAATATAGCAAGTGAAGAATATTTAATAAAAACCAAAAACAGATTTCCACAATTGTCTGAATATGGCATACACCTTCCATGTTCATACTTAGTAAAAATGCTTTTAGCGACTCCAGTATTGTACATATATGCATCTGATTCTAGGAATCATGAATACTGCAAGTCACTCTGCTGCCAAAGCATGCTTCCTTAAGAAAAACATATCAAATATAAACAGCTACCAAGTGGCACAAGACTACAGAAAAGTCTAGACCACTACAAGGAAACCAGAAAATGACAGGAGGACCCGTTCTGAATATTCCAGTCACCAAAGCATATCACGTTCCACTGTTCCAGAAGCCATACTCTGTTGGGGTGAATCAGAAACATACCACATGTGTCATGATGTGTGTGCACGTGTGCACATACGTACATGAATGTACACACATACATAACCACACATATGGCATATATTCCTGTTTATAATCCCACTTGAGTTAATACAAATAACAGATCAGACAAACAAAGAAGTGAAAATTTTCAGCAGCAATTTCCTCATGACACATTCAGAAAAACAAGTAAGTTCTATGCAAACTTTACTACAAAATTGGAAGACAGGTGCCAACTCTGGCCTGTTAATGTCACTGCCAAAATTATACATTAGACATTATTGGGGACTAGGGACATGGATGCATTGGGAACAGTGGCCAGAAACCAAAATCAAAACCAGATTTTGTGACCCTTCTAATGAGGCTTCTGTTTCGCACGCCTAAACTCAACAAGCTGCATAATGTCTGTCTCAGTAGCAAGTGACATCATTAATTTACCAATGAGAATACAAAATCATTATTTCTTCATAAACATGAATTGCATACACACTTTCTGTATATTCAAAGGAATATTTAAAAACTATTTATTTCTTTATTACCATTTTAAGAGACAGTTACTTCCTCATGTTGTGGTTATGGATCCAGAGTTCTAATAGGATGACCTAAATGTTATCCTCAGTCATAAGATGTTAATGACTGTGCTTATAATGACACACAGGTGATGAACCTGGCCCTTTGTTATCAGTGACAAATTTTAAGGAAACACCATTTCACTACTTATCAAGTCAAAATTAGCAGGTAATACTTCTGTACTGTCCTATATTCTTCAGCACACACTGATGATGAGAAATCAGACATCAAACACAGATACACCACTTCCATCTGGGCTCTTAACGGTCCCATCATCTCATGTACCCAAATTCCGTTTACCAGTAATATGCACAATTAATGCACCACACTTTGGAATGTCTGACATTACCTCATCACATAGATCATTTTGCCAAACCTACTGATATCTGGTGACTGTGCTTCATCTCAAAACCCATGTACTCCTGGAGTACTGATATGAGAAAATGAGTTCCAAACAAATGTTCAAATTCAAGTGCCTTTCTCACTGATTCAGTGGAAGAAATGACATTAATTTCATTATTATGAACTATAACTCACAGGCAGCTCCAATGCACTGCAAGCACATATGAACTATCACTGAGAGTAACCTCCAACAGTTGATATTACCGGAAATCACTGAAATCTGTATTGTACCATTTAGGAGTACAAGACAACTCCTTTATTCTGAATGAAAGGTAAAACAAACACCTCTTAAGGGTGGAATAATATGGAAAAATCTTCATTTATGTCTCACATAAGGGAAACCTTTGTCCCATATAGCAGTGAAAGGTTAACGGGCATGAACACACTACATGGACAACTGGCAACCTGTAAGCGTGGGCTTGTCTGTGTGAGATTACATTTCAACACTGTGTGGAACAGTCTTCATCATGTGCACTGGGACTCCTATATTTACTGATTACTGGTTGAATAAAATTGGCCACATGCATTTAAGATTGTCCTGAATGTTATTCCATGATATAAATAAACCACTTTCACCAATAAATTAGTTGCTAACTACTATCAATATCTTCAAAACTTAGTTACCTTTACAACAGGCAAGCAAAATGGCAAATTAAACAACTCTGTTGAACATAAAAATACAGAAAAGTTACACGTTTTAAATTCGAGAACCTGTCAAAATAACAGCTATGCAGTTACAGACACAATACATTATGCAAGGAAAGATTAACACAAATACACCATCACATGCAAAGGAGCATTCTGCTATGAAACCAAAGTGTACATTTATATATATATAAAAACATGTATCTGAAAAACAGAAAACCAACACCAGTACAATTACACAAAACAGCGATCAACATCAACTCGAGCAGCAAGGAGTAATGGGAGGGACATGGACATTCCAACTAAACAAGGAACAGGTTCTCTAACCCTGACATCCTCACTCAGACAACTTCCTTTCTTTGTTTAAAATTTGCTATGAAAACATGAGAAACCGTCCTGTCACACAAACATGGCATTATCAGGCACAGAAAAGAGACACTTTCATCTAAACTACTCAGGGTCATTTACATGTTCATATTTTATTGTCTCATGCAATGCTACCTTGCTTTGAGAGTACCGGCCTGAACACTACTCAGAAGAATACTGGAACTTCAAGGGTCTCCATTCAGCTTGCTAGTACAGCATTAAGCACATAACAACAAAGTGACAATAAAACCAAATGTCACAATCATGTGGGTAGCACGCCTACTTCATAACAGGAGGTCTTGGGTTCAAACTTCAGCTTGAGATTAGCTATCCTAACTGAGGTTTTCTGTTATTTTCCTCAGCCCATTTAGGCAAATGCTGGGACGGTCCTTTCACATCCTTTCCAAATCATTATTATTAAGCATCACATTATAAACTGTACAAAGTGTAAGACTGAAGCTGTAGAACCGTTACTTGGAACAGCTTTAAAAGTTACAACGTAACAGAAGTGTTTGGAAATTGTGATAATCTAATTTAGTAATTAGGTATCAACAATGGCACAAAACTGTGAGGGAATGCAGATGCTCTAATGACACTAAAATAGTATTTTTCAAATAATTGATGTTCTTACAAGGAAACCCCAACTCTGAAATGTTCATCCCATATACTGCAAACCTAAACCTGAGATGGGTTTCATTAAGTAAAATATGAGAGCCTAGAGTTACTGTCATTACGCAACTGGCAGCAAGAAACTAAATTTACAAAAATCATAAAATACGTAATGGAAAACCCACTATGTACCACGTATCAACATCTACAGTTCCCTTAAAGAAAGTATGTGAGAATACTGACAACAAGAATAAGGAAACGTACAGCACTGAGCTTGACATTAATGAAAACAAAGAAATAGTCTAAACAATAACAAATTTTGATCATTCAGGAAAGAAAAGCAAATCTATTTGGGCTGGCTCACCGTAGGTGCGGCCGTGGGTAAGTCGTACGTTTCCTGGCCTAGGGATGGGAGTGTGCGCATTATTTCGGATGGTGTCAGCACTCGAATCTGCTGATCCATCACTGGATTCACAGTGCTGCTGTTTAAGAGGTTGGGTGGTGGCGGCGGTGGCGGCGGTGGTGGTGGTGGGGGAGGTGTAGGTTGTGGAGGTGGTTGCGACTGGGGCTGAGCCTGTGGCAGCAGATTCAAAGCTGCAGTTGATAGACCAGATGCTGATATAAGCAAGTGGTGTTGGTTTAGGGGCTGAGGCATTGAGGTTAGATGTTGACCTGCAGACCCATCACCCCCAGCAGTGCTCAAGATGCTTCCCATGTTAGTTGCAGCAATCTCTCTCCCACCAACAACAACATTAGGGGAAGGAGCAACTTTCCCAGCAGACACTGGTCTCGGAGGGGGTGCAACAGTGTTGACAGGAGAGTGTCTGGAATGTTGGATTGAGGCAGCCTTCCCAGGATGGTACTGCTGTTGAACCTGATGGTGAACTGTAAACTGATGGGAAGTTGTGCAGTGGATCTGCTGACTGGCATGAGAACTGAGTGATGAATGCGGAGGAGGGGGAGGTGGTGGCGTCTGGTGGTGTTGCATCTGAATTGAATTTGGGGACTGATGTTGCAGAGTATGTGAATTCACTGGAGATGAAGGAGCATTAGGAGAGGAATGAAGTTGGGCTAAGCCACTGGGAGGAGATGAGGAAGTTATTTGCAGCTGTTGCTGCTGTTGTTGCTGCTGTTGTTGATGCTGTGCTTGGGTCTGCGTTGACTGTTGAGGGCCTCCACACACCTCTACTACATTTGACGAAGGAGATCCACTGCCTCCTCCACTATCACCAGCACCATTCTTCTGTTGAGCCAAACTGACGGAAGTCACTGCAGCGCCTCCTGTCTCTCCACCACCTCCTGCTCCTCCTGCTTTTGTGGGTAGCTGTGGAGAACCCCCGATGACGCCAGTCACCCCACTTGTCGACGGAGTCGACTGGGGGCTGATGGAGCCAACTGAGGGCTTTGTGATATCCTTGGGGATCTGCCGGTATATAGCAGGGTGTGTGGGAATTTCCCACATACACATACAAGTAGTAACAGGGGAGTGTCAACAGCCATAAGCCAAGTTAAGAAAAGAAAGGTTGATCTCAGATGTGGAGTTTTAAAACTACTGTGTGGTGCTCTGACTCAAGCTATGTGAGGTAAACTCTCTCATGCAGGAAGCTGGACAAGTGCTGCTACATATAACAACTGTCAGACAACAACTACACTGCCTGTCAAGTGCTTAGATATCACTTCATCCTATCTAAGGCTAATATGTAATAGTCCCACTGCAGAACTATTTACTTTATACCCCAGCATCTAGAACCACACATATGTTTTTTTAAGTACATCCCTGGCACCATCGCTACACATACATAATTCATCACGGGAAATAACAATTTGGTATTTATTTTCCAACTGTACTGTGACATGTACAATCAATGCATTAAAGACTGCAAAAGCCTGGCATAATAAGACCTACAAATGGGACTGCACGAAAGAAGCCTATATTAATAATTTACACAAATTACTTAAGGCAAAATTTAGGGCTGTGCTATAGCTCAAGCGGTTAGTCGTTGGCTTCCCACCACGGCGGCCCAGCTTGGAGCCCGGGTCTGGTGAAGTGGAATTTGTGGTGGACAAAGTGGCACTGGGGCAGGTTTTCTCTGAGTACTTCAGTTTCCCCTGCCAATCTTCATTCCACCAACTGCTCCACAATCACCCTCACCTATCATCTGGGGCTGGTACAACAGGCCAGAACTGGCCACAGTACAAGGGACTTAGTCCCACCGCACTGGCAATAAAAAAAATAAGGCAAATTTTTATGCCATAAACAAAAAAATAAGATAGGTTATCTGGTCTTGCATGCCAACTTTTACTTCCAAAAACAATACCAAAGTTTGTCATCAAAAGAATACTGGTAGCCACTACTAGCACAAACAACATTAATTGTCAGTCCCTAACAGAGAGACGTGACTGTGGCAGTCACAATGTTACTCTGGGAAGTGTAATTTTTGGTAACCTGCTGCCTCAATCTTCAGGGTAGAAGTGGCAGCAGGTTCATCTGAAAAGTTGGTACCTGCTTACCAAACTGCCTGCCATCATATTCCAGAACATTGTAATATGAATATCTTGCTCCATCCAAACAGTTTACACAGTGTACAATTACTGGTGGTGGTAAGAAGTCAGCTTCATGACCCAGCTGTGTGAGCCCCACAAATGGTATGGACACTGTGGTGTAAAGAAAAATCTCTTGCCCCTGTTGGGAGCTACACCCCTGGCTATCCAGCCCATAGCCTGTGCTATAACAGCTCCCTTTACAATCTGGCAACTTTCAAAGTGTCCATCGAGGCTGTTATAGAGTGTCACGTAACTTCGAACAAGGCCCCGCATTCCTAGTCAAATCCCATGCATAGCTTGTGGCGGGAGGAGTTTCTTAACACTCGCTCTTCCACTTTCACCAACCCCTCGTGTTTCATTGAAACTACCCTAATCTCTTTTCGAAGAACATATTACAATAATACAAATATATTGTCACTCGTCATGAAAAGAAAAATACGTTTAATGTGTATTACTAATTTATACTTTGAAAATTAAAATATACTAGTTATATGTAATGAAGAAAAGAATTTAATCATTATGTACTCATACAATTTAGCGTACAAGGAAACCGATGTTTTTAAACAGATGATACAAAAACCGTAAGTATAACCTGCTTCGAGGGTGCCTTACAAACAACTGGCCGTCTGTCACTTCTCACACCCTCGAACCCACCCCCTTGTCTGAATTTTTCTTCTGCGCATTCAAAGTTACTCTTGGCCTTGTTCGAAGTTACGTGACACTTGCTATAGCAGCTTCTTCACTAATACAGTCAACATCATTACTTCTCGGCCATATAACTGCTTTATTAATGATATCAGTAGAATCAATTACAGACACTCTTTCCACGCATTTCCTTAATTGACTAGAGTGTGGTTATAAGATGTTATGGATTAGTAACTACTTTGCTGTCTGGGTACAAATTAAATAACTGTTTATTTATAACATCCCCCTAAACTTTTGTGCTTCATGTAAATAATTACTCTCAGACTTGAATCTGTATTGTCTGAATAACGAATGACTTTCTTTTTACTGCTGATTTCAATGGACCAGTCCCTAGCATGAATTAAAATTGTGACTCACTGATATGTTGGGTTTTTGGACTTTAGCCATCATCCTGGTTTTTAAGATAACAAATAAAAACACGACGTTTCGGAAACTGGATCTGTTTCCGTCCTCAGGTGTGTTTTCCTTCACCTGAGGACAGGAACAGATCCAGTTTCCAAAACGTCGTGTTTTTATTTGTTATCTTAAAAACCAGGACGATGGATAAGTCCAAAAACCCAACATATCAGTGTGTTATACACCATTGTCAGAATCCTATAGTAACTACTTAAAATTGTGACTGTGCTGCACATTCTACAGTAGATCCACATCTAGCCCACCCGCATAACAGACATCAGCTGCTGACTGTGTGATCCTCTAGCAAACACAATATATTTTATGACCCTATGGTTACAATGACAGGATATTTAAAACTCCATTTCTGAAACCAACCTATCATGTCTGAGAATCACCAAACAAGCTGGAGGGAAAAACCCCAAATTTATGTGATTCCACATATCTTGAAAAGGTTTACGGAATGGCAATCCATAATGCATAAACATTTAAAGACACATTCCTTCCCCACAATAATAAAAATACACATACACACACAGGTACGAGTCCCACTGACCAGCATTACACATATCTATCTGTAGCTGGCTTCTAGACTGCACTTCCATCTAAGTAACAAAGAGTACACAGTGGGATTACCTCTAAGTTGATACGTTACAAACTAACCAGCTCTCTAACAAAGAATGCATGTGTAAAAATTGTAACTTTCACATCACAACAAAATGGCTGCACATTAAATAACTAAAATGGGAACCACTGATCTTTAATAAGAAATCCAAAGAGGAATTGTGGCAAAGTTTTAGGAGTAAAATTTGCTCTGTGTAACTTTACAAGCTCAAATTATAAACAGCAACAAAAAGGTCCACAAGAAGTGTTCTTCGCTACACTCCACGTCTCGCTGGTACTGCTGTATGTTTGTTGCATATACAAAGCCCATCACACTGCACAGACAGAAATTACTTTCTTTGCTCCCTTAAATACTCATTATAATGAGAGATGTTTCAATTTGAAGTTGTGGGTCTTAATGACATTTATACATTTCATATATGAATTTTTTAAAGGCTGAGCCATTTCTGAGACTACTCAGGATGTCTACTGAAAGCTGCTGGCCAAACTGAATTTTACAAGCAGATTCCCAATCATCCACTCTCAGAACCTCTTACATACCGTACTGAGTAGAGCTTTGTAACAATGTATTGCCCATTACATCAGTTTCAGTGCTATGCAGCGGGGCATACATCTGCTCACCCTGTACTATCTCACTGCTTTTGACAGAACAAGGGTTCCTTTCTTCTACCGGAAGGACATTTGTCTCGCTTTATTATGGCTGACAGCATGACCAGCTATATTCACAGCTGAATGCTGCGTGGACAGAGGATGCTGTCAGATTTTTGCATTATCCATTGTTTTAAACTATTCATGCCATTTCCCCCAAGCCCCAGTACCGCAGATACCTGAGTGTTCATTATACTGGGGGCCCCAAACGAAGGCTATCAGGCTAATTTACTTTAGGAATTCTTGTTACCTGCCAAAACTTACCAAGAAAATCTAATTTTCATTCTGAGGATCCCTACATCTTACAAAGAAACCTGCTCAAGCCGGTTCCATTATATTTGGTAATATTGTCACCTGTAAGACAGGAGTACTGGCAACTGCTAAAATGCCTTCTTTCTCAAATATACTCCATCCAACAGACGTCCAACACAGCTGTCATCAAATATCAAGAAAATTATATTTCTGTGCAAGTATACACAAGAACAAGACATTCGAACGGACTTTTCCACATGGAGTATGGACCATGCATCAACATTCATGGTGACATTTTTAATAAAATTAAGATATGGAATATTGCCAAGATATTTTTACACATACACTCTTGTATTACTAAGCTCACAAATTATAACTACAAATTAATGTTAGGTGGGAAAACAGGTCTAAACTTGCATGAGAGTCCATCCCATTAGCACAAGATCACAATATAGAGCCCCATCATGATCACTGAACCTGTAACACACAGTAGGATAACAAACTACTTCATGGAATGCAAAGAATTGACATCCATAGAAGTGCAGACACTGACCTGCTGCGCCTTTTTCATCCTCAGAGCCGCTCGGTTCTCTCTTGCTTGCTGCAGGAATGGAGCTTTACGATCTGATGGCAGGGCACGCCACTTCTTCAAAATCTGCTTATAGCGGTCACTCCAGGCTGCATAAAAGCAAGAACCCTGATCAGTGTGAGCCTTCCAGTATCGGCATTAACATCAAGGTGGCAGTTTTTTTTTTTCAAGTTGCAGTCACATTCTCTCAATGTCTACTTAATGCAGTATCCCTCTCTATAATAAATATACTGTATGTTCCTCTTGAACTTCGACTTCAGAAAAAAGTGTGATTTCATTTAATTAAGAAATCTTGACATTTTCAAATGCCTATGGAAGTCATACAACAAACTCTGCCTAAAACACCTTTGACTATGCATCATACCTTGAGTAGGAACACTTAACGAAGAGAGGTCAAGTGTGTCCAATAACATGGCAGGCATAAAGATTTTGGTCTCCATCTTATGATAAAAACAGAATCCTGTGACTTTCTTATGATCTCATATCTAATATCACTATGCAAAGCTGACTCATCCTCACACAAGTCTTGAACAAAATAATCACTAAAAATTGTCATAAAGAATAAAAAATTGCAATGAATTGCTTGCATTGTTTGTATTTGAATGTAACTGTGTGTTCACTCTCACCTCACGAAAGACACACACCATACGTACCTTCATCTCAAGCAGGGCATGCTTGGGGGACAAGAAATGCATACAAAAATCCCAAGTGCTAGGGATCTTCTGGGAAACTTGGGCACAGGTAGGAGGATAATACTGAAGTGTATAGCTCAGATGCAGCCTCTCAAAGACACAGTAAGTAAGTAAAAGTATTCCTGTAACAGGCCATGGAAGCCCATAGGGTTGTGAGATGTTGAGGTTCCCACATTTTCTAGACAATCAGCTGACAGATGGTGGTGAGGCTGTCAGCCCTACGTGCTGGCCGCCCATTAAACCCAAGAATATTCCTGGTATTCATTTCTGTTAGAGGCTGAGTAGATGCCAGGGCCATATTGCAGCTGGAAGGATTAGGTCAATTGAAAAAATCCAATGACCTCACCAGGACTTGAACCCACAACCTTTGGCTTGTAGCACAGTGCCTCAACCAACTATGCTACTGCATGCCCCTGAAAAGACACAGTACTTACCATTTAGGTTCCATCAGAGGGAATGGCTAGCAGCTTCTCAAGGACTAAAGTTACTCAACTTACCAGGAAATTCCTTCTTCCACTCCGGATGGTTTACATTAGCATATAACACTGATGATATAGTTGCACCACTTCCTAGCGCTTCATCTGCTTCCATCTTCAGGGTGCTCTGCCGATTCACAGATGATGCAGGTGTAGACGCAGAACCACCCTCTGCAATACCCTCAACATCTGCCTGAGACAACCAAGGACTTGCTGGTTCTGAGAATGGGCTACTGTAAAGCATCCAACACACAGTGCATCAGCACAAACATATTTTATGGAACCAAAGCTTCTGCTGGACTTCTGTTTTGGCTGTTGGCTGTTTGATCAGTAAGGTGCATTACTTTCCATGTGAAATTAAACAAAGCATATAACTTACAAGTAAATCATTTCGCTAGATTGTATGTACATGGAAATCATAATATGCTGCATGGTGATGTCCCACAAGTGGAGTCTATTGTGCACAGAAATAACTGCAAACCCTACACACTACTCACACGCACTGGACATGTGAGCACCAGAGAAGCACCTGTCTCAAGTTCCCACTTCTTGATGTCTTACTGAAGCTCCGCATAACTACCGCAGTATTAGCACCCCTGATTAAGAATTCGATGTATGAATACAGCCACATCTTGTATATTAAACTTACACTGCCATGTCTTACTATACAAGATGAAGCAGAAGACAGGACACACTTCAAATGAGGAAAACATTCATTAATCATAACATAATGGTTATAATGTCTCGGAACAGTCACTGTCTCACTGTCAATAGACACTTAAGATCTTGATTTCAGCTTAGTCCAGTTCATTGCATTCTACTGTCTTCTTGTGTCTTGTGTGCCATGAATGTCAGTACTGTATTAACTTCTCATCTCACTTTATGCTCAATGAGAACTAATTAATACCTCTTTATGTATGAAAAACACAGACTGTCCTGACTTTCCTATCACCCTGTATATGGTCACTGTGTTAGGGCACATTAGTTTTACTATGTTAGAATAATCAAAATGTTTTATTCTTATGTTAGAACAGGAAAGAACCGCCTCTGTGGTCTAGTGGTCAGCGTTCCTGGCTACAGATCCAGAGGTCTGGGTCTGATTCCCGGCGCTACCAGATTTTCTGAGAAGTAGTGGGTCTGGAACAGGGTCCGCCCAGCCTTGTGATGATAATGAGGAGCTATTTCAAGGAAATAGCGGCTCCGGTCTAGAAACCCAAAATTAACGGCCATGGGGATTCGTTGCGCTGACCACGCGACACCCTCTATCCGCAAAAGTTGGCACTAACTTCACCGACAAGCGGCGGTCACTCGGTCGGTATAGTTCGCTTGCGGACTAAAATCACGGACTTTGTTTGGTTTGTTGTTAGAACAGGAAAAGTAGCAAGATTCACTGATATGCTGTGAATTAGTTGTATTCTATGTCACTTACTTGCTGTATTCAGAATGGTAAGGTGATGGTGGTGGGAAGCTGACTGGTGACAAGTTTGGCTGACCAACTGGAGGAAGAGACCGCGTGAGGCCTGACTGCAAAGCTGTAAATTATAAACTCACACTAATCATACATCTGTCAGAGCCCTGTTGAGTTCAATTACTTTGCGGACATAAAACAGGTCTCCTACAAAGCAAACTCCCTCTCACTTACTGACGCTACAAGCAGCAATCCGATACTGCAATGGCTTATTTTATGGCTGGATCAGTAACTCAGATCATGCAGCATCCAATGGTAGAATGAACTGAATGGGATGCAGAAAGGTGTGATAGTGGCACGACTTGCTATAATGGGCTGGCATATGCTTCAGGAGACTGAGGAAAAACAGGATGTCATCATGATTTTATTTCATATCCCGAATTTGACCACTTTAAAAATTGCATTAATGATGCCAGCTTGTGTAAATGGTTCACAGTCAATAGGTTTTTATATTAAGTTTTAACACAGCAAATTCCATGAAGCTCATTACTAACAGCAGTATAGGCATTTTTCTGAACAGAGTGTGATGGTGAAACAACTGAACAAGTAGGAACTTCAAACATTCTGGCCCACAGACTGACAATGCCTTAAACTGGAAAACAAAGCTCAGCATACTTTGCTGTGAGGATATTTGAATCACTCATGAAAATAAATTCATTTTGCCTGTCTCCCATTCCATCATGTCATACAGGGTAATTTTCTGGGAAAAAATGAACAAACAAAAAAGAAGTATTTAGGCTGGGGCCACACAAGGGCACACGGTACGTCCGTTGCAACAAACATACTTTATGATGGACATTGCTGAGGACACCACGCAGCTGCAGAATGCGGTGCATAGTTTGTCTGCAATGGAGCCAGAAGAAAGCATAGCATTCGCCTCTCTTGTTTATTTCTACAACGGACGTCACGATGTTCGTTACAACGGACGCATTTTGTGCGCTCATGTGGCCCCAGCCTTAGTGCCCAAAACAATATCATTCAAATATTGGCAGGCATAAAAATGATGTCTCCTGTACAGAGTTCTTTAAGACATTTACTATATTTCCTTTTAGCAGTGAGTTGTCACTCCCATTACTGTCATTAACTGTGGGCATAATGGGGAGGTTTCAAACAAATTTAGACACATACAACATGAAGAGACGCAGATATAACATCTGTGTGGTGACTGTTAACATCACCAGGCATGCACTATGAAGGAATCAATTTGTTCAGTGCTCCCCCATTTACCATTAAAAGTTTAAACCTAATAAGAAAGCATTTATGCCTGCACTGAAGTGCAGTCCTGTTCTGCAGAAGAATCTACTTTAGTTGGCAACCCTTAAGTAATGTAAATATTAATAAAGAAAATAATGTTTCAACATAATCATTTACAGAATTTGGTGGAAAGAATCTACCAGGTGGGAAACAGAAGTGCAGACCTGACCACCACGAACCCAAGATATATGCCAAATCTCAAATGCATTATGAAGAAGGCCTGCACTTAGAAACATCTCCCACAATACAGAACAATCTGTCAAGGAATTACCTGAATGAGTGACATTGCCTGATGGAGAGACCATACCAGCAGACTGCGGGACAGACACATGGACTGGGGTGCTTGTGCCAGTTCCAACTGCAGCCAATGGAAAAACAGATTCCTGAGACTCTTGAGACTCATCTGTCAGAACGCCTTTGAAGATCTCCTCCACATCCTTACTATCCATGTTCGGCAGTCCTGTCAAAATCATGAAAATTGCATTGTTAGCTTCAATTTGAATTAACTACTGTCTCTGAAATAAAAGCCAGTAAAACAGAATATCTCAGATAACAAAGGTACACTTTGATAAAATGGTAAGCTTTGTGTGGCCAACATCTGTGACTGAAGAACAAACAAAAGCAGGTTAAAATAAATGTTATGTCTGTCCCAAAAACATTCACTACTGCACACTCCTATCTTGGTAATAACATTCTTAAAATGTTATGGTTGTGTATATATGAATTTAATAAGAAAACAGAAATTCAGTAGCAACATAGGACAACAAATGGACCTTACAAACACCAACGAAAGGTTAGCATGACCAGTTGCCATGAACTCAAATAAAAAAGGGTTCACTTGGCAAGGTACACATTTCTACTGTAATTTGGGTAACCTAACATGCATTTTAAGCCAGTCACGGTAGCTGAGCGGTCTAAGGCATGTACTGTCTTCGCTCGCTTGGAAACCGGGATCGTGGGTCCGAATCCCACTCAGGGCATGGATGTTTAGTTTGTGTGTGCGTTTTTCTGTGTTTGTGTACATGTAGAAGTCTTGCGACGAACTGATCACCCGCCCAAGGAGTCGTACTGAACGTGTAAGATCTAGAAAAACCGAAGTGAACGGAGAAGTTCATGGAGGTAGGCCTAGGCCCACTGGGGCTGTAGTGCCAAGGGGGAAAAAAACATGCATTTTAAAAGCAGCACTAACTTCTGGACTGTACTGCCAAGTGTGGTCTCGTAGAACACTCTGAAAGAATGTACTGCCTCCATCTTCAGGGTCAAAAAGTAAGCTAAACAAGCAGGAACACAGGAGAGGAACCAAAGATGAGGGAGGGAAGAGAAAGAACAGGCGCCCTTAAATGGGCCCCTTCTTTTTGCCTGAGGGACAGAGAGATGGAGGGGACAGCGGAATTTTGACCAACCGGAGGGGTGACAGGCAAAGTACAGAGGGTCACCAAAAAAGAAGCAGAAGGGAAAGATAACCGTGACACAGGTGGGGGACTGACAAGCCTCTAAGTGGGGCCTTAAAGCAAGGTGTGGATGGGAATGAAAGGAACAAGGGGAATAGGAAGGAGGCTCTAAGGACAAATTGGGGTCCTCAGAAGAACAGTGTACATTAGGCCTAACAACACTGTTCATGAAATCCTACAAAGGATGCTTTCTAAATTCTTTCAGGAAATAGACAAGGTATACATGATCTGCTTAAGCAGAAGCCATTCTCCCTATTTATGTCATAGGGGTGGAGCTAGCGCAATCTTAACTCCCTCCCTCCATGTATCTGGATTCTGTGAAGGGAATACTCATGTTCTGGAGTTGGATGTAATGCAGTGCCTCACTATGGTTGAAATGTTCACGTGATCAAGACATATGCTGATGGTAACTCTTCACCCTGGTGTCAATCGAGCTGCCTGTCTGCAGAATGTTGACCTGACCACTCACAGGATGTCTTCAACACTAGCTGAAGGAAGATGGAGGTTTCTTTGGGCAGTAGGAGAGTGAGCTCAGTGTGAAGAAATGGTACATGATACAGGGAAGCCAGAACTGGTCCAGAGCTAGAGTGAACCAAGGGAAATCAGTGGCCTTCAAAGAGCTCTTCTGTCAGTCGGGAAATGCGAATTGGTTAACATAATCAGGCTGTTTTGTACCTATCTACTAAACAACATGGCATGAGATTCTAGCAGAATAATTCTAACAATTTTCTGACTAACAGTTACAACAGTAATATCCAGACATTAATTTAAATGTTTCCTTGAAACTCTGGGTGTGGGCACCAAACACAAATGGAGAATGTGTCTCAATACAATAATTTGTGCACTTCCTGTGATTGGTGTGTGTTCCATCCATCCATCCATCCACAGAAAAGCTTTAACATACAGCACCGCTGTGTGAGAGACCATACGAGGAGCTGACAGTGAACAGAACCTGTAATTTTAAATACTGACTGGGTGCCAATGCTAAAATTGGATTGCAGGAAATGTACAGACTATGTGCCACATGCAGCCTTCCAGATCTGTTATCTCAAGGAGTACAGACTTAATAAAATTAAAGGGGGGGTTAGTCTGTGATTTATGATGATTATTAACTGTTTATATGCTTCCTCATTTTGAAGAGTCAATGAATCACTGAATTACAAACAGCGCTTTTTCTTTTAGGCTTGCATCAAATTCTGAAAAGATGACAGAACTTCTATGGGCATGAAGACAACAACACGAGTTTCTGTAGAACAGCACTGTTGCTGAATGGGCAAGACTCGATGCAATTAACAAGTCTCTGATATTTTCTTACTAAGTGTTCAGTACCGTGAAAATAAAAATAGGGCCTCATAATGATGAACACAGAGCATGAACAAATATGTAACTTCATACAAGTAGCAGAAGTGAGTGCTTCAGATGTTGGTCTCTATCCCTGTCCCCAGAAATGCAGCTGCTTTGAGCTCTTGAAGCTGATCCAGATATAGAAATTACACAATCAGTAGCCAATTTTTATGATAAGAATTTTAAGAGCAAGAAAAATCTGAGAGACACAAGCCAGAGTTCACGTACATGTACACGTATGTGCCTCAATATCTGCAACAGTACACAATGCCTCTGCCGATTTCAGAACCCCTAGTATCAGAACTCAACATCCTGCAAACAATTTCCAGCCACATTTCTCTTCAAACGAAACTGTGTTTTAATTTCAAATAACAGAAATCAAGACCCAGGAACTCAACTGACTTTGTAACTGAAAAAGCCTAAAGGTTGACATGATACAAATTCTGTGAATAAAAAGGCAATATGTCTATCTCAGCAACACACACATTGAGAAAGGCATTAACCTTCAAGAATATAAAAAGGAAAAGCTATCCCTGTAACAGACCCTGAAGGCCCACAGGGTTGTCAGATGTCGAAGCTCCCACATTTTCTCTAGACAGTCAGCTCACAGATGGAGGTAAGGTTGTCAGCCCTATGCGCTGGCCACCCTTTACTCTCCAGAAAGATTCCTGGTACTCATTTCTGTTAGAGGCTGAGTCAATCCGAGGCCACAGTGCGGCTGCAAGGATTAGGTAAACTGAATAAACCACCTCATCAGGACTTGAACCCATGACCTTCTGGCTTGTAGTACAGTGCCTCTGCCAACTGTGCTACCGTGAGAACCCTCTCTTTCTTCAAAAATACATCTTAATAACATGCAAAAAAAAAAAAAGACTCCTGCCGGATGAGAGTGTGCAACCGTAGCAACCAGGCATTTTACATACACCACAGGCAACAGATGTAAGGTGCAGTGCCACTTGACACAGAAATAGTAACTGTGGAAGACCAGAAGAAACCACGGTCTGCATCTACCCCGAACTGCACAAACGTGGTGAAGAGGACCACATAATAATCTGCCCCCTTGTGAAACTGGTAACATCCTGGCATTTAGAGGACTGCAGAAAGCCACAAAATAGCTGGTGCTCTGTTCAAGGCCTACATCACTTCATCAAGCCTGCTCAGTAATACCAACACAAAAATTCAAAACCTTCTTCACAATGTTGATTATAACAACCAAGACAGTGGCTCAAAACCCACGGCACTTGAGTATGACATCCCTTAAGCAAGACTCTGATGCTCTGATTCCCCTGCTTAAAAGAAACAAAACCAGAACAGGGCTATGCATGTAAAGTTTTCAATGCACACTGTGCTGAAGTGCATTGCTGTCCCATGAAGAACCTTATATAACAGAAAGTTCTAGTCAAAGCTAAGTGGCGGTTACTGATAAGAATTTCATACCTCAAAAGACATGGCAGAAAAACCAACACAGCTTCAGGTTTGTACTTTCCGTAGAATTCAGGGAATGAAACGGGTTACTATTAATAAAACGGCCGTGAAATGAAGGGAACGAGACCAAGGCAAGTATCTACGTACTCCAGGGAAGCAGCCCTCTGCAGCACTAACCCAAACCCAATTCCATAAATGGGAAACTCAGCACCCAAGTCAGTGTTCTACCCCAGGTTTATTAATACTGTCAACCTACCTGTCTGACTAACCATGGACTCCAGATTGAAATTTGGACTAAGAATGTCAGCAAGCTCATCTTTATGACTTGTGCCAGATACATCTGCAGATCCATCAGGCATTGACAGGGAATCATTCAATGAATCATCTGCCACAGCTGCATCTATATAAAAATATGCAGTTATTCTTATCTGTCTGAATACAGCCAGGGACAGAAATGATTAAATCATAAAAACCAAACACAGTACAATTTCTATTGAAGGATTCTCAAAAGGAAAATGGGGTCTCAAGGAGAATGCTGCATAGGAAACTTGTCTCGAAACTGGGCTCAAACTATGAAAACAAAACAACAACTTCAAAACTGACAATACTTTAAACTAAACTCACTATATTTGTAAAGTACGAGCTCCGTCAGAGGTAAGTCACGTCAGACATGATGCAGTAATTGTCAGCTGCCCAGATAACTGTGACAGTGCTGAGTCATGCAACACAGCTGCACCCAGAACCAATTTCACATTTCCTTGCATTCTTCCCCTCTTGACATCCAGTCCGTCATGCAGGGGTAAGCGGATCACATTAAAAAGGCTGATAATTTAATCTGTCTTGATGGTTCTTCAAAACTGTTTCATTAATCGAATATGCAACAAGATGCATCGCTGTATAATTACAATTTTTACTGCTATATGGGAGGGAGGCACACAGAGTAATGATGCTTAGGAACAGGTTTCTCTGAAAAACGTGTCAACCTATTGATGAAGAAGCAACAGGAGTCTGGAGAAAAGCTGCATAACAAGCTTCACTATCTGTACTCTTCATAAAATATTAGGATAATCACATCGAGGATAGAGGTAAGGCATGTAGCATGCATGGGTGGATAGAAATGCACAGAATTTCAGCTGGAAAACCTAAGTGGAAGAGATCATTAGAAGACATGGGCATACCAGAGAGCATAACTAAAATGTGTCTTAGAGAAACAGGGTGACTCCTGTGGATTAGGGCATGGACCTCTGGCAAGCTCTTGCCAAGAAAGCAAAGAACCTTCAGGATCCATAATAAAAGGCAAGGAATTTTTTTATTAGCTGGGCAACTATAATTTTCTCAAGGACTCAAGTCCAAAAACTGCTTCAAAACGACAGTCTAAGCGTGCCCAATGAAACCTACCTTGGAGAGTTAAGAGTGGGAGAAGAAGTAATGAAACAAACTGCAGACCGGACGTGTAGTGCCACGATATCCAAGACAACTCAAGACTGACAGAACATGCATATACACTGTGAACAGGGGTTTTTATTGTGATGTTTATTAAACCTTGTTTTTACACCTTGTGATCCAGTCTTCAATAGTGAATGAAGCCATGACATACTTTCAGCACTGTGAAAAAGATCCGAGCACTCTTTTCCCCAGAACATGAACTCTTGAAATTATGAAAACAATATTGTTAAGAAAAAAGCAGTCTTCTGGGGTGTGGCACCGTGTAGATGTGGTGTTAACCGACATTTCAGAGGAACGCATCGCCTCCATCTTCAAGGTGTACAGGTGCACCTGTTCTCACTGTCTCTTAACTTACGGATTTTATTTTTCCTTCTACCCTGAAGATGGAGGCAATACATTCCTCCAAAACGTCGGTTAACACCACATCTACATGGTGCCTCATCCATAGTCACAGCCATGAAAACCTCAAATCTTACAATATCTGTTAAGTTTATGTGAAAGGGTAAGGCATTCATAAAATGACGTGCTACATCTGGTTACGTATGTGGTAAGTAGTCTGTACCTGACTCTCAGACTTTCATTCTTGCCAGTGCTTGTAACAAACTTAAAACAATCTAGACCACTATTCATTTAACACCTATGTTGTATGCAGTGTTAAAAAGTCATCTGCAAAAAAAAAACATTACTGGAAGATAACAGAAAAGCCTACCTCCAATATCATCCAGATTGTCCTCACTTTTCGTGATATCATCATCCTCATTCATAATAGTGTTGACTAGATCTGTATCCAGCAGATCACCAGGTAATATATCCTTCAGACCCTCCGTGTCACTTCCATCATCCTCCTCCTGTAAACACAATCACTTCCAGTCATGAAGCAGCACGAGGACTAACCCTGATACTTTATCATGCATGATTTGCACTGGAAAGCAGAATGCAGAGGAAGTTTACACACAAACGTCTCTCCCTGTTAATCCACAAGCAACTACAAACTATGAGGCTACCATCACAAAAGCTGAAACAGTTTATGTGCACTTTCAACAACTTTGTGTGTGTTCCTTATAGTGCTGCCATTAAAATGCCAATGCCAGTCCTGTGTTTCAATGTTCTCTGTCATACCAGCACTGTAATATTTTCTGTATAAAAATTTAAGCTTTTCAGCAGCTAGGTATGGGGCATGACACTGACTGTGACAGACTAAATTAAAATATTTCCTGCCAGATGTCTCCTTTGCCAAAGAGTCAAGTACAGAAGTAGATCCCAGAAACCTATGTCCACAGTTCTTAACTATGAGTGTCAACACATTTCCAGAAGACAGCACTTGTTTACTAGAAGCAATTACAGCACACAGCCACACGACTGTGTAAAGTGCCACTACTAGTACATGCATATAAACGTAACTAATTTTGCAATATACAATGGATCAAAATGAACAAAAATAAAAAAGGAGTATTCACTATTTATGCAACAATAAATTCAGTATCAATGATTCCATGCTGAGATGCCATGGCACGAAGACACAACAGGAATATTCAAGGTATGGCTCGATGAATTCTAGCTCTCTGAACTACATGAAACTGAACAGGACAAAAAGCTGAGTGGATCCCTGTGCCCCAGCTGGGTCTGGTAGGGAAGAGACCCTTCCTGCTGGGACTCAGACCTCTGTTCCCTAGCCAGTCAGTTTACTGCATGCACTACTCCAGTTCATGGTAATGATTTTAATTACTAACTGCAGCTCATTACAACCCTGTTATGAAACGATACCAGTGACTGTACTGCAAGTCAGACCTCGAACACAAGAAAAAATATGGAGGTTCTCTCCTATTTTGTAAATTGTTACATATTAACCAACCACTGCCAACACAGCAGTGCATGCTGAACACAAACTTCTGAACGGCATTTGGATTCTGAACCTTTCTTTCCTCTTTTAACTGGAACAATTAAAGAATGGAAACATCTGACAGGAAAATGAAAAGGAAAGATGTAAGGGTTGGGAGAATGTATGCAATGGAAATGGGGCTGGTGGGGGGAGAAGATGAATTAACATTCTTACCTTTCCTGGAGATTTCAGAGAAACACAAGCAGACTCACTTTCTTCAACCTTCTTCTCGTCTCTGTCAACTTCCTTCTCTTGCTTTGCTTTCACTTCTTCCATCACTTTCAGCTCATCCTGAACATACATGAAACACTGGTAGTAAGACCAGGATTTTCTGTCATACAAGAGATCATCAGAACATAACGGGATTGAGGACAATGAGAATCATTTAAGATTTGATGTTTTCACGGCGGTGACTATGAAGAAAGCAGTCTTCTGGGATGTGGCACCGTGTAGATGTGGTGTTAACTGACGTTTCGGAGGAACGTATCGCCTCCATCTTCCGGGCAGAAGGAAAAATAAGAAATCCGCAAGCGAAGAGACCGTGAGAACTGGTATAAGCAGACCAACCAACCTTAAGATGGAGGCGATATGTTCCTCCGAAATGTCGGTTAACACCACATCTACACTGTGCCACATCCCAGAAGACTGCTTTCTTCAAAGAGAATTATGTTTCATGCAATCTGCGCTCTTCTTGCTCCTCACGACATTTATCACACCTTATACACCATGCAAAAAGGGCACAAACAGACTGTTTCCTAGTCTGCTGCTGATGCTCCAGTACTAAATTCATTATGATCCTTGCAGGAAAACTGCTCCCTTCACAACAGGAGTAATGGAATGTGATATTACATCTAAGAGACCTGCACAAGACAAAATGTTGTCATTTCACTTTCTGATAATCCCAGGTGCAACCTGTCAGAGTCTGATCAGGAATTGAAACCACTTATGCCAACACAAGATCAACATTGACACATTTCACATATCATGAACTTCCTGTTCCAGCTAATGTATGGTTCCACAAAACCAGACAGCGCTATTGTCAAATGACAGCAATTCTGGGTGAAGCAAACCACTTTATTTCATCTGCGATAATCAGAAATCCTGCAAAACAGAGTACTTATCTTGCATGTGGAACGATTATCGCATAGTTTTCATAGTAATCAAACTCAAAATAAGATATTTATGAAGAGAGTAAGTACTGAACCAACCTGTGACAGCTGTATGATCTTGTCTTCACTCACTTGCAGTGGTGATGCGCGCTCTTCGTCGGAGTCACTGCTACTACCCTTATCCTTTTCCTTTGTTGTGTCCAGTAAATCTCGACCAAAAAATGCCTCCTGTGAAAACATACATGTACAAAATAGATAAAATGATAAGACAATGAAACCATGGAAAACTGTACATCAAGATTTTCTGATAAAGAAAGAGAACTGTGAATTCAAAGGGCTTCAGAGAGAGCGACTGGTTCCCACTGGGGTCCTCACAAGGTCAAAACAAAAGTCTCTTTTAGACAAACAAATCTGACACTTGGGCTCTGGTCAGAAGTGGCTGCAGTACAAGGGACTTAGTCCCACCCCAATAGCAATAAAAAAAAAAAAAGCCCTACAACAGGACAGTCTGAGCTTAGAGATGGTGTACATGTGAAGCAAACAGTGCCATGAATGCTGAATGCAAAGTGGGGAAAGCAAAAAGAAGCAATGCAAAAGCAGACGGAGAGTAGAAAGTGCTCACAGAAGGCAGAGAGAAGACACAAGAAGAGGACAGTGTACTGACATTAGGGCAAAACTGTATTGCACAAAGCTAGAGCAACATCAAGATCGTACGCGGCCATATAACGTGAGACAATAATGGTTCCAAATTATGATAAACACTACAATTCATCAATAAATAAATTTAGCACAGCTTGGCCAGCATGCGCCTCTCTTTCGAGAAATGACAACACGTCCTGCATCTTCTTGGCTCTTTCAAATATGCATTCACTGGTGAAGGTGCAGAACCATTCTAGAAATACTGCATGCATAAAGCAGTGGCTGCCAGCCTGAATTCACTCTTCAATGAATGTGCATGGCAAGTGCAGACAATGTGTTGTTTGTTTAAGTATGCAAGGAATAGTGGGTTCAACAAACTGCAAGATACTTCAGCGAAAAACAGAAGAAACAAGCTAAGCAGTGGCATACGGTGAAAGAGGTGTGGACAAGAAAAAAACTGATGCCAGCATCACAAATGGCTAATGACAACAGGACAACAGGTGTTCCATGTAGCAATAAAGTCCCCATACATTCAAACACAAAAATAATTCCAACCCCATTTCTACACCCATACCGGCAGTGGGCATGGAGTGGCGCTGTAGAGAGGTTTAACTGTAACTCCATGCAGTAGAAGAATTCTTCATGAATAGCTAAGTCCTTCAGCTAGTCAAGAAATTTGCAGTTTTCTATGAAACCAGAAGATGCATTTCTCTGCTCTCAAGAGCCCGTTACTGGACCCTATTCTGTGAAAAACAAATCCTGTCCACCTCCTCCCACCCTATTTCTTTAAGCTCCACTTTAGTATTATTCTCCCATCTATGTCTATGTCTTCCAAGTGAACTTCCTTTCAGGAATCCAAATCAGAAATCGCTATGCCATCCCTATCCCTAAGAAGAAGAGCTGCTTAAGACAGGCTTTCTTTCAGATTCAAGAAAGATTACAAGCAAACGGCTACTTATTTAATTTGACATGTGTGCTTTCTGAAGTACTGAAATGTCAACTGCGTAATGCCTCACAGCAGACACTGTTACTTCTGTCTGAAGTGCCTTGTAGACAGCAAGTTGTAACATGGAGATCCTTGTTAGAGCAGCAGTGTGCTCGACTCACCTGAAGGTACGAGGGATAGCTCTCCATGAGTCTGTTCTTGGGTCTCCTGCGTTGCGCTTTGCGACGGGGCTTGTCTTCAGGGGCTGAACCTCCTTCCACATTATTTGTGCTTGTCGGTCCTGTTGAGGTAGGTGTTACTGCTCCAGACACAACCTCACCGCCACCTTCTTCATCTTTCTCCTTGTTGCGAGTATTACGCAGCCGGGCATTGAATCCTCCAATCCCTGTTGTCACAGTATTGATAAGACACTACACCTATAGAACACAATGCTTCCAGAGTGGCTTAAAGTCACTCATTTAAGTTCCCCATACTTTTACGGCACCCACATTCATCACTGGACCCACTTCTCATCCTCACCTCCTATTAAACATCTCTCTCACAGTCCCTTCACCTCAGGTTTCCTCACCAAAATTTTCTGCACATTGCTCTTCTTTGCCATATGTGGCTACATCCCCCCATTCATCTCAACTTTTGATGTGCTCACCACAAAAATATTTGGCAAATCACTTAAACACACTTGCAGTATGGATTATAAGGCAGTATATTTGTATAAAGTGGTCGGTCCTCTGCAACCTATTACATCTGCTTGTCTGTACTATATTTAGGATGTACACAGACACAGAAAAAGGACCCAATGAAGCACGGTTCATAATAACACAACAGGCCACACAAGAACATTACAACTAAAATCTGATTCCAAGTAACGGTTATCATCGCATGAACGTCTCCAGCCCTCACCCAACAGGAAACCAAAATGCCTCCTCCAAGCACATCTGAATACAGTGTAACAGCAAATGAACAGAATTCCACTATGTACAGCAGGCAGGCCCCAGCCTACTCACCGACACACTGTAACACTTGATCTATTCCCAGAACTTCCAGAAGCTGTCACACATAAAACATAGCCTACCACTATCCAGAACTTGCAGGGCTGATGGCCGAAGAATAACACCAACAGGCAGCCTACAACTTACCCAGTTTCTGCAGATTTCTCTGCCTCTTCCTCCGCAAGACCATGACCCCACTTTCTGTTGTATGAATTGTGAAACCTTCTGGAGGTTCTGGGGGACGTCCATCCTCCCGTGGAGGCACAATCATCCCCTCCTTGTACACTTCCACTGGCTCCATTTTTACATCCTCCTTGGCCTCATCCAATTCAAGTTTTGAGATAGGATCATGTTCTAATGAGCTATCTGCAAGAAGTAACATAACTGCCAACATTGCTTTACTCCAATGAAACTGAGTCTTGCACTTAATTCACAGAATATCAGGTGCCCTTCTGATAAATGTCACCTCTAAATTGCTGTTTCCATTACACCTGTTGCAGCTCGTAGCAAATGGGTGAGAAGCTGCACCCCAAAGCAAAATAAAATTCATCTGGTCATTACTGTTCTGTGAGCTATACTGCATTGCTCTTTGAAGCTCACTTTGCCGACTTGAAACCATGAATTGCCATCACTTGATGTAGCAGTACATCACGAACAGAGATAGAAAGCTGAACCCTATGGTAACAAACCCAAAGGTTCTAACAAAAAACCATCTTCCTCTGAATCTCTTTTTTCCCACTGTACTTGTAATGTTTCCTTCTGATCTCCTTCACCTCAAGATAGCTACTTCCCTAGAACCACCATAATTCATGCTACTCTTCCTGCCTTCCCTTCTTGTGAGTTACATGTGTAGCCCATCATCTCTCACCCCAAACAAGATTAGCCGACCTGTATAACCCAAAAAGTTTCTTCCTATGTAACATTCCACCTTCATCCATCTTTGGCTGAAATGCTTTCCTGATCAGTGGTTTCAAACATCTGTAACTTTCTTCTTCCTAGAAGATGTTTCCTAACAGCACCTACAGCGAAACCCCAATTCAAGGTTTCTTTGCAAAACATCAGATTGGAACATCACCCAAGAAAAATCTTAAACAGGTTGAATTAACAGTGAGATTACTGACATGAAATCACTGAAACTGAACACTAAAAAAGGGGAAAAATTTAAACAAAAGGAACATACAACTGGGATTTCAGTATATATATCTCTATTTTTAAAGTAACTTTGATACTGATTTACTACTACGGCTAATTGTTTTAGGTGGTCATCACAGCCTTTTCTTAGAGCTTTATGAAAATGTCATCAGGTCAAATAAGTTGTTCCTCCATTGTTTCCTTCTACTGTTTTACAGACGTACATGTACCACTCTTACCCAGACTGCCTCCAGCAACAACAGACTCGATGGTAGCCAAGATGCCAGCCTCTTTATCAGCTTTGGTAGGTATCTTCTTGGTGATCCGCTTCTTGCGTGACTGTTGCTGCTGTTCCAGTGTTAATGACTTGATCTGGTGCAACCCCACCTCAGACAGACACACCCCATCCATGTAGAACTGTGCCTGGGAGCTCAGCTTAGGTACCTCTGTAAAACGTCACAATAATATCATTACAAATTGTACACTACATGGCTACTGAACAGGACACAATTTCAGTTTTGTCTCTAGCACTACTGCTGCCTTTCCTTCCTTCCCCCTTACCAACAATGGTCCATGTAAAACCCCTTCCTTTCTGCGACACCAATTTCTCAGAAAAATTCCAAGAACTGCACTACAGAACAAAATTACGTAAATTAGAAACAAAAAAAATCGAACTTTTTCTTTTTCTCTGCACTTCAAAGTTAAAGTAGCTTCCATATATTATGTTCTGTTTCAGAATCTCTCCCTGCCTGCTTACCTGGACTTTTAGTTGGTGTTGGTGGTTTTGGTGGTGGGGGCGGAGGTTGCAAATGTGGGGGAGGTACATCCCTGGGACGACACAGAACACAATTGTACCCGTCTTCTGCGCACCTCTCGGCTTCAGCTTCAGTGCGGATCTGGTCACATGAACAATGTAACCACCTAAAAAATGGAAGACAGACATAAATCAGTGTTAGTGGCAGTATGCAGAAAGCCATTAACCCTTTTGTATCCTCTGTCAGAAGGTCTCCGACATAATTTTCCTGTACAGGTTCACTGCTGAGAGCCTTTGGCCACTCTACGTGACCAGTCTACTGCCTTGTTACAATCATACACAAAGTGTCAAACATCATCGTTCGCAGATTCTATAACATAACAGGTGACAGGGCTTTCATGATTCCTTAAACAGTAGGTGTGTTGTTTTGAAGTAATTTGCCTATTGCTGAAGACAGGAGTTGGAAATAACAGTACTAGAAATGGTTTAGACATTAAACTAAAAAAAAAGTCGATGCTTCCACTAAAAATAAGAACAGAAGAGGTACTGACACTGTTCTAAGCTAACCACTACTGTCTGTCAATACAAATTCACGGTCAATTTTGGAAAAATACAAAAATAAATATATTCTTCATTGTAGGAATATGAAAGTTGTTAAATTTACATGTTATTAATGCTGTCTCCAATAAGAAGGGGTAAACTGCAAAGAAACAGGAAGAGGGAGGTTGCCAATTTCCACCCTGAGATTCAAACCTGGTCTTGCCATAGTAAAATTCAGACAGAGATGCTGACTTGTATTCATACGTGAAACACAGCGTGTAAGGCAATGGGTCCCTGTGGATATGCAACAGTACAAACCTCTCACACTGGACACATTGAATGATGAGATCCCCTTCACTGTAAGGCTCTGAACATGACGGACACGTTGTGTGTGAGGCACATGGACCACACTCTGTGAAACTCTTCTGCCACATACAGTTGAAACCTGGATCATTTGAGCCACACGACATGCATATTGCACACCTGGAACAGGGCACTCACGACAAAATTTGTACAGCAAAAAGAACTCAAGAACCACATACACACAACTGCTAGAAGCAAGACTTGCATGTCCAGAGAAGGTAAATGTAACACGTGTAGGTTTCATGATCAACTGCAGAAAATAGGGCACTGAATGAAATGTGGATAGCAGCCAAGTTACACATGAATTCAACCGTAACTCACCATTCACTTACTCATACTGTAACAGTCAATACTACAATGAAAATGTCTGACATAATTTCATTACTCAATGTCAGGATATTTCTTTATTATGTTATTTGTTGTATTGAGTTATTTACCCAAACTGATGACATCAGGACATAACAATTATAAGCTTTTAGAATGACCCATTATTTTTTAATATAAATGTCCACAATTCTGAACCTCGGAACTGCATTATTTAGAAGGTATATATATTCCAGCTATATGATTAGCTGTGCAAATGAATATCTGTACTTCAGTGCATATGCATCAGACAATGAGTTAAAGATGTGACCAATACATCACATCCAATGCTGTCCTCCTAAAAAAGAAATGCTAAGAATCGAATCCCAACCATTTAAATGATACCAGACAGTATTCTGGTCACATGGCGTGTACGGATGGCTATCATATCCATGTGTATGACAGTTCCAGGCCGTTATTTACCATTTACATTTCCAATTCCCATGTGGAACATAGTCCAGAGGTGGATCCATACAGTATATATGGAAAGAAATGTCACAGTCATCACAGAGTATCAATCGTCCTTCATCATTGCGCTGCCCGCAACCCTCACACACTGTGCAGTCCAAACATCGCCATCCCTTCTGAAGTATGACCTTCGTTACCTGAAATTAGCATGATACAAAGAACTGCATGAACTCCTCTTGAAATAAACTGTACTGAAATAATTAAACTCCTGAAAGCTGAGGTTCTCACATCCATGCATACATATTCCTAATGACAAGCAGCACACTCCTTCTAAAAAGAGGTGGCAGGCACTTGGCCACACACTTGAGCTGCTCATCAGCCCGTCATGCAGCGACAGTCACATCCCATGCAAATGGTACAGGAAGCTTCCAAAATGTTCCTTACAGACATATGTAAATGCAACTGCAGAGTGCTGGAACTTAATGAGTAGGCAATGCCTCACATCCCCTTCTACTAGAACAAACTGAAAATGCTGGTTACAGAACTTACAGGCTTACAGCTTGACATACTACCAATCCCATGTGTATATTTCCTTTCACTGATGACATTTGTTGTTAATAATTTGGATAAGTTTCAAACCAATAAATCTGTATATGTCATTGGTACCAGAAGGAATGACCACCTTCACATACCTTCAACACATTTATCATCCTATCAGAGAGGGGTGTATCATTCAAGCATCAAGCTATTTAATACTCTGCCGTCAAATATCAGTTTTAAAATATGATAAAAAGCAACTGATGAATTTGTTGAGCATGCAAGGGGCTCAAAAGTTAAGAGTTAATAAATGGTCTGTGTGTGTGAATTATATATTATTGAGACTTGCTTGTTGTAAGTGTAGTTGTATGTATGATGTCTGTTGTTTGTTATGAATTTTAATATTTTATAATGTAACTGTTTTAATGATACTGCATGCCAGTGTGTGTGGAATGTCAAGGTGTGAATCTGATAGTGCTTTACCACGACCCATGTGCGTTGTCCTGACAACTTGAGCTATCTGTGAGAGGCCTGATTATATATTTTATTGGACAAAGGACGAATACTGTGTAGTCATCATGAATTTGTAATATGTGACATCTTTTATATCCAGCCCTACGGGGAGATGATTGCATCCATGAAGTGAAAATAAATGTAAATGTACCAACCTTAACATTTACACAGTATGGATGGTAACACTGACCACACTGGGCACAGGCAATAAGACAACCCTCCTGATCAATGCCAATAGCACCACACATGACACATATGTCCTGAGTCAAAACGAACTTGTCTTTGGCCGAACACAATACAAGGCGATTCTCCACTCCTGGTTCTTCTTCCGACTTGTTGAATGAAGAATCTGCTTGTGGTCGCTATAATGAATCAAAATAGAGTGAATGCAGTTGGTTTTAAGATGTACAATGAACTACGCCACTTCAGGACACACTGAAAGTGACTGGCTTGCATGCTACATATAAAAAGGGCATATCTTGAAAACTGTGATATTATAGACCATAATGTAATAATGTCTATCTAACAAAACACTGAAAGGCATATGGAATTCTAATTCCCACTTGTCATTCATTAATTCAAGGTCAAGTACTTGTAAAATTTGGGGATCCTCCGAAACTGTACACAGTCTCTACAACAGTACACACATTTCAAAGTAATCACTACATGTGTAGTATACAGTAACTTCAAATTATACCAATGCAATCATGCTCTGAATTATTTGCTCTGGAATAACTGATGTCCTGTGAGAACAGAACACATATGTCACAGGACTTACTTGTAAATTCTTTTATTTCACTATTAAGCTTATCATCATCATCATCATTAATTGAGCCTAAGTATTCCATCTCAAATGCAATATTTTTATGCTCAAATGGTTTAATCTTTCTTTTTCTTTAAATTTTGTGATGGGAGAACATTGAGACCTCTGCTGCCTCATCTGACGAATATTCCGCCTCCCCACACCACCATGTGCCTCCAATCTTAATAACTGAACAAGCTGTGTTGCAGGTACAAAGAGTCCAAGAAACAGTGGCTCACACTGTGGCATGATGAACAAATGTCCTCACCTGCAAACCAAGTCCAGGAACCCCAAAGATCCCTCTCATTTTTGCTTTTGGGGCACGCTTACGACCAAAATCGGTGACCCTCTGCCGTTTCTGGTAACCACTGATCACCTTTCCTCTTCCACTGATACTACTGAAACCCAGTTTCTTCTTGGCACAAAATGGCTTCCCTTTGCCCAATCCAATTGCTCTCATGGGCCCTTCATCAGAATACTGCAACATCAATTATTCAAACATGTTTGCAACCATTACTACTATTACAGCAGATATGAGATGTGACACACACAGCTTACAACAGTGGGCATCTGCACCATCAATTTCATCATGCTAAGCACAGCAATATTCTTTGATTTTAACAATACTATATCATAATTCCTGCTGTAATGACTGCTTTTCTCTCACTTCTAGGTGTGCATACACATACAGCTGGCAACATGGTTTGGCTGCCAATTTCTATCCTTCATTAAATCAAAGGAGTACTACTGGGAACACAGCATTATCATACCTTCTTATCAGTCCCTATTTACAGGAACCTTTTCAAAGTTCCTTCAGGAACTCGGGGTTTCAGCAGAACAAATTTTGGTAAACACTCCCCAATGAACAGGGACAGAGAAATGCTGCACTGGCAAGCACGTAATGAAAGGAGCTCACAAACTCAATTCAGAGGGAGGGGAGGAGGAGGAATGGGTAAGAAAGTGAAAAAGAAAAGGTCTGAGAAGAGAGAGCAGACTAGATGTTTTTCATCCACTGAAATTTTCTTCACTTCTGCGTGTGTGTAATGTCATCTCTCTGATGTGCTTCGAGTTCTGTGTACCTTATCAGATGAGGAATACTCCACTTCCATGCCAGAATCCTCTGCAACATACAGAGATTCTTGAGACCCTGTCAGACTAGATTCCAAGCCACCATCTTCAGTGCCTGTATAAACACAAAATACATTGATTCATATGTAACTTACAGCTGTGATAACACACACTATTATAGCATGTAAACATTCAATTTTTGTATGGGTGTGGATCTTGGTCTCTGACATTAAGGGAGGAACATAGACTGAGGGTGTCGAGGAGAATATTTGGACCAAAGAGGGATGAAGTAACAGGAGGTTGGAGAAAACCGCATAATGAGGAGCTTCATAACTTGTACTCTTCTCCAAGTATAATTAGAATGATCAAGTCAAGGGGGATGAGATAGGCAGGGCCTGTAGCACAAATGGAGAAGAGGAATGCATATAGGATATTGGTGGGAAACCCAGATGGAAAGAGGCCACTGGGAAGACCTAGGTGTAGGTGAGTGGATAATATTAAAATGGATCTTAAGAGAGACTGGATTGATCTGGCTTGGGATATGGACCAGTGGAGGGCTCTTGTAAACACAGTAATGAACCTTTGGTTTCCACAAAATGCTGGGAAGTTCTTGAGTAGGTGCACAACTGGCGGCTTCTCAACAAGGGTTCAGCTCCATGAGTGAGTGAAGAATTTAATAGACTCCCCTCCTATCCTGACCACAAGAAAAATATGCAAACTCAAGAGCTAAGCACCAACATCTCACATCAATCACAAAACATAAACCACACAGCAACACATCACACACCTGTAACAGTGTGTTGCACTGCTGCATGGCTCAGCATCCAGGTTGCCAATTGCAGAGAAAAGTACAGCAGTACACAGGAGTACTGCAATCATTTATAATACTGTATGATTAAAATAAGGAGCATTTCAGATGCAAAACTTACTGTCTTTTCTCTTTGGAAGCATTTCTCTCCCTGGCTGTGTGCGTGGCTTACAGATTGGGCAGACGTATTCATAGTCAGGGTTACTTTCCTTCTTACGGTTATACGTTGTCAGATCTGCATCCCCATCGCACATTCCATGAACAAATCTACAAAACCATGTAAATTCAGTTTCATGTGTACATCCAGAAGGTCACAGCACCAAGCTAAGCCTTAGCTTAACTGTTCAACACTACAGTCATTCACAATGCTTCAACACTTCCAAAATTTGATGTATGAAAGCAAAGTTCCATGAATTGCATGAAGAATGAAATACGAGAGTAACTACAATTATTTAGAAGTGATACTGGCAGAAACAGAAACTACAGCAGATATTAAACTTCTGTCATTTACACCTGGTTAGTTTTCAGTGTCTTCTGAATAGTGGTAATAATGTGAGACACTTAACACAGATCCTCCTTGATACAGAGCACCAGAGAACACTGACCTTTGATCTGATTTTTGTGGTCAAAGGAGGTAAAAACTATTCACATTTATTTATACAAAAACTGAAATGACTCAGCAGGCCAGCTCCTGGGTAATGTTTACAGAACACTCAAGCCACAGTCCATGGCTGACATACTGTGACTAATAACTGGTTGGCCACACCACAACTCAAGTGGTTAGTCACGGACTTCCCACCACGGCAGCCCAGGTTTGATCCCGGGTCTGGTCAAGTGGGATTTGTGGTGGACAAAGTCGCGCTGGGGTAGGTTTCCTCCGAGCACTTTGGTTTCCCCTGCCAATCTTCATTTCACCAATTGCTCCACAATCACCCTCACCTGTCATCTAGGGCTGGTACAATAGGCCAGAAGTGGCCGCAGTACAAGGGACTTGGTCCCACCACACTAGCAACAATAAAAAAAATATCACTGGTGACTGCTGAAGTCTGTGCTACAATGCTGCCTGTACTTTTGTTATGTAACGCAACATATATCTGTTAAAGGAATGATCTAAAAACAAACGCCTGAACTTACTTTCGACAGCGCCCGCACTGAACCATTTCCCTGTATGCAGCAGCACGATAAGCTCGCCTGCAGAGAGGACATGAGAAGCCCTTGTTACGCTGCTGGTAACAGGAGTCACACACGGTGTAGTGAGCATGCCATCGTGACGACAGGCCAGCACCAGGAGTTCTGGAGCCACAGTCACTGCACACCCGACAACACTGCAATCACGAGCCTCTCATTAAACTGGATCTGTACCACTGTCCTTATCTCCTTGTTACTGACATCACAGAGGGAATGTCATTCTGCATCACGTGAAACTTTATCAGCTGTGCAGTTCTTCATTACTGTTACTGTTATCGCAAGTTAAAAACTGCCCCCCCCTCCAAACCTGTACTAGCAGGAGACTCAAAATCCCCAATTCCCAGGCAACAAAATTGTCACCTCTAAATTTTCACATGGCCCCCAACCACAGGGAACTGGGAAATTTAAATTCCCTATTCTCAGACAAGAAACTATTACACCCAAAACTGAAACATGATTACAAGTTGTGTAGCACTCAGAAACTTAAAATCCCTATCCCAAGACATAATATATCCACATCCAGCTCTGACAGAAACTCACTTTACATTTCCAACCAATTTTGGGTATCGTAGTAACTATCGGACGGAGACATTGCGCATGGTAAGCCTTGTCGCACTTCTCACATAGCATGACCTTGGAATCGTCTTCAGGCTGCCTGCACACCTGGCACACACGGCAGTCAGGGCACTGCCATCCAGCTCGCAGTCCTACAGAGCAACATACAAAGAATGATGATACAGGCAACCCCCCCCCCCCCTGCAGAAAGTCTTCTTCTGTTGCGTTCTCATGTAATGTTTCATTGTAATCTATTGTCTAGGATATTTATATTTCCACCAAATGAGGAGTTTACACCCCAGCAACACAGACTGGCTGCATCTAACAAACCAAATCTAACTGCCCACACACCCGCCCGCCTACCTACCTGACTGGCTGAACTGAACTGAAATGAAATCTTGAGAATTCATTGTTGCTCAGCCACACAATAAATCCCTAGCATTTTATGGAACAAAATGGCTCCTCAACATGTTCATACATGCCTGCCATTGGTCTCTGCCAGACAAATCCAGTTAACACTCCCTTAAATTTAATTGTTTCTTGCATCCTGTTGTGTATTTAATCAATATTAGAGTTAATTTTACCGACCACACAACACGTTTTTATTATTGTCACACGACATGTTTCGACCTCAAGAGGTCATCCTCAGGTGTACAACTGTGTTCATACCTCACGTCTTAGCAAAATGAATAAAGAACAACATGAAGCAGGGCTTTTGTTAGTAAAGGGTGGTTATGAATATAACATGTTATGTAGCAGAAAATCTTTTGACTTCTCAATTCAGATAATGCTGAGGTGACTGAGAATGTGGAAACATTATGTTCATATTTCCATGATAACCATTTCAAAGAAAAAATATTGACATACCTAGATTCAATTCTTTCAAATTTTATAGTCACAGTGAATTTTTAATGTCCAAAAATCAGGAATTTATACGTTTGGATAGATCCCCAAAAACACATTATTCCAAACATCGAGTTCTCAACAAATACATAATAAATGATCATAAATGTCTTTTTCATTGTACTCCACTTTGAGACTCAATTTCATTTTAAATAACTGTGTTTTAACATATAAAAAAATTATTTTCCAAATTCTGTTGCATACACATTAGTAAGTCACAATTCAACATGTTACCAGGTAAGAGAGCAAGTCCAACACAGCTTCCATGGTAATGGTGTCCACAGTTCGTGCACATCATAAGGTTGGACACATCACCCAATGCAAAACACGTCATACAGGTAACTTCCCCACTCACTGCAAAAAGACAGAAATAACATCTTAACCCATACTTTGACTCTGACATCACAGAGGAACAAAGATGAACTGAGGACTCAATGCAGACAGCCAGATTACTACTACCGGCGGAACTGAGTCTTCTCACTGACATAACGAACTGTAAGAAGCTGGCAATACTCAGGAATTTTCAGAATATGCAAACTTAACTCCTTTCCATTTTCTCTGTTTCCAGCTTCACTCCCGAACATACAAATTAATTTGCAGGAAATTTAGAAAAAAAAATACACACACATATTCTAGCACAACGGAAATATAAAACACTTGCCATCTGTTGTTCCGATACATGAACTACTAGAATAGTTGTCTAAGAACATAACAAAAAAAACCCTGGTGGTTTTAGTCCGCAAGCAAACTATAGCGACCGAGCAATCTAGGAACATAAACAGCAAATAAATAACTAATATTTATTTCCTTTATTTACTTTAGAGTAACAGGATGCAATTAAATCATAAAATTACTTTTTTTATGCAGAAATGTGTCCTAGTATGAAGTTGTGTCACATTCAGAATCCCCTTCCATTGCAGCATATGTGGCACCACAGCTTTGTGTGCAGTGCAGAAGTGGCTACTGTTATAAATTATTACAGTGCAAAGAGTGGTCTACCAGAGAAAATTCTCATTCTGGTCTCAATTCTCAATGTATTTCAAACTCTGATCTTGACCTGGAAAAGTCATTCTTTCACATGCTTACCATCATCAGCCTCCCTACTTACACAACAAAGGGACCTGGTCCAGATGTTGGCTGCAAACCATGGTAACTGTCTTGCAGTCCTGAAAAGCACCCGACGCTGCAGCACAGGGGAAATGAAGAACACGTGTACAGGTGGTAACTATACATGTTATGGTGGCCCCAAAGTGACTGCAGTATGAACACCGTCGCTTGGAAGCTTCCAGAACCGCTGGCCCAACATTCTCCATGACCAAGTCCTCTGTCCTCGTCACTCCAGATGACCAAAGAGCACATGACTGATGCACATAAAAGTGGCCTAAGAAAAAGTATAATTTACTATGAGTAAAACAAAACTGAAGTTTATTATTTAACCCTGTCATATGCATTGCAGTAGAGTTAACCCCATTCCTGTTCTTAATGTGCACAAGCATCTAGCATACACAAACTAAAAAATCTTCTGCTCCCCACCACAACCTGCTCCACCAATTTTCATCTTTGAGAGGCTTTATTTCATTTACAAAAATGGCTGAAGGAAGTGAACACAGATCCTTGCACCCCACACGTCATAAAGATGTCAGATTTCATAACACCAAGCTTCACTCCATGCGTTTAAGGGATATCCTTAGTGAACATACTGCAGCCAGGAAATCATGGTTATGTTGTGGAAACTGTGAGGATGCATCGTACTTGGGGTAAGCAACAGTACGGAAGGAACAACATGTGCATTGCATGATGTCTCCTATACAGCGTGACTACCACCACTTATAGTTTGCACAACCGAATACCAAACTTCATGGAGTCAATAACATATTCATGTGTGTAAATAATGTTGATGCTGAAGCTGACGACACATGCTTAGAGCTGTTTTACACAACACACGTGTGATACTGACAAGGAACAAAACTGTATCTTCAGTAAAGAACAGGTACTTCTTGTACTAGCTCACAATGGGAAATTAAATAACAAGTCTCATACCATGAAAAAGGTGAATCTGCGTGGTTTACACAGTTGGTCACACTGTTTACCTGTATAGTTAAATAATAAACCCTAACAGCTTGTACCAAAATATTTACATTATCATTTTAAAATTTTAAGACAATTTTGCTTACAAATATACCGGTCCAGTTCACTGTGGTATCAGAATTTCTCAGCTATGAGCCACCAACATTTCACTGCAACTGTACATTTAACATGAAGGCCAATAGTTTCGTGGTCCAGTTGGCACTCCAATCTGCATCCTTATTTGTCATTAACAGTGTAAAAATCAATTTTAATAATGTTGTAAAACAAAAAGACATTAATGAAGCCTGATATTCAAAATGTTCCATGCTTTCATAGCACAAGAGTGAAGCAATGCCCAATAAAACTGTATTGGTTAGCAGTTACTTAGACGTCACGTACTGTAGCGTGCTGCAGACCGATAGCTATTGGCCTTATGTTCTTATAACCAAAGTTAAACTCTGAAGTACAGAAGGAACACAATACTTCAACAAATACCTGAGCTCTCAAACAGGCTACCAACTTCAGGTTCTTCAGGGTAGCCCACTACACTAAGCTCATCCAGCTGCTCTGCACTGCTGCCTAGGGAGGGGTTCCTATGCAGACAAATATCGTTCATTAACGGAATCAGTAGCACATTTTCTTCAGAAGACCGTAAATTTCCAGAATCTGTTTGCTTCTTATACAGAGCAGGTTCACTTAAAAAAAAAAAAAAAAAAAAAAAAGAGACTCAAAAACAAAAATTTATATTGAAACACTGCTCCCTATTATCACAATACTAACAAATTAAATATCACGCAACAAAACTGAAGTTTTCCGCCATTAATTAACCACACCATGAAGACAAACAAGTGAGTTGTAGCTCCTCACACTCTTAACGTCAACACCAAGTGAATATGACTGAACAGCTGCATACTCCCTGGAGCAAGAGAGACAGGTATCCACAGAACAGGAGGCTAGGAGGGCCCCAAAACTAATCTTTTCCTTAAATAACATTATAGCTCACAATAACGTAACTTTCCCCCTTCTCTCAGACCCTTGTATTCTCCTCAAACTCATACCTACATTTGTATTCAATACATATTTAAATGTGGATGGTGAAACCACATTTTCCACACATATCATTCAGCAAAGCACGTATATTCCACACTCAAAAACTTATCCTCACCGTGACTTGGCCATGCACTTCTGGCGCCGACCAGTAACAGCACTGACGCCACCACCTCTTGGGCTCTTGTCCCCACCACTGCCAACACTCTCTCTGTCTACTGCATCCCCTGCATAAGTCTCAGATGATGGACTCATCATCTCAACAGCATCACTCCGATCTGCTGACGCAGGAGATGATTTATGTGGCGTGAAGCCTTCTGGACAGCTGAACCGCATCAGGTCACCTTGGCCCAGCTGACTTCTCTCACCCAAATTACAGAGTGCACAGACCTTTCCAGGCCTGAAAGACACAGCACAATTACAGAGCAGACTGAAACCTGCTCCACACTAAATCAACAAAATGCACTTTGCATTGCATTTCACAGTGACCAGCTAGCAAGTTATGCACATTAAATCCAACAAATATGTACATAAATTTTGATACACATGCTCTCCTGTTCACAGAAACATAACATTTTTTTTAAGGTGTACGTTTCATTTTAAACTAACAAATAATGGGAAGAACTTCAAATGACTACATCCTTACAGCTCCATGCTCCATTCACTCCGTAAAACTTCCCTCAGTATAAACTTCAAATGACTGCATCCTTACAGCTCCATGCTCCATCCAGTCCGTAAAACTGCCCTCAGTATAAACTTCAAATATCCATGAGATGTGAAACAAAATATCACATGTTTATGCTGTTGCCATTCCCCATTTACTTTAATGAAATAATAATCACAAATGAATATATCTGAACTGTACACTGAATGAGCCAATCAAGACACCATCCACAAATTGTACAGGCACCATGCTGGTACTGATGGCAGCAGGGAAAGAGTGTGACTACTGGCTTTCTTTTATGGTGCCATCAGGATAGCATCAAATGGTAGGTTAACTGATGAACTGCAAACTGTGTGGAGGTGGTCATGGCCTAACCAAGGTACTATCCCAAAATCTGCATGGAGAGACTGAGAAAAACCATGAGACACCTCTGTCAGGAGAGATGGTGTCAAAGCTAAGATTCAAACCAAATACAAAAGTCTAAGAGATTTACCACTATAACAAGTTGTCTGATGACTAGATGGCATCTATGGCAAAACAATGATGCAAAAATTATGAAACCAAGATTGGGACATACATACAGCAAGTGCAGTCCAAGCTGCTCAGTTAATAACTGACCAGAAATTAACCACTGCACACAGCAATGTGTGAAACATTGGAATCAGTTAAAAATATTAACACAATCTGAAATGTCAATAAAGGAAGATTAAAGACAAATTTATCTCACTGCCACCATGTCCACGACCCAGGGCCCCAGCCAGTTGGAGAAATCGGCTGGAGCTCACCAGTCACATCTATCTGGAGCAAAGTACAGAAAGTGTGACGCCATATGCCACTGCCTCAAATACATTTTCATAGCACAGTGCTTCTCAGACATGGGAGCATCGTACTATGGCAATGACAGTATATAGGTAATGTGAAAGCATTATCTTACCACTGCTCCTGAAAATATGGGGGTTCTTCTGGGGCCATCATCTTTTCTGTCTTGGAAGCTGCTGCAGTAGCAGAACATTCACTGTGTCCAGTTTCTGGGTCAACACAGGAGGCTGAAGCTGCACCCAATTCATCTACAGACCTGACAGGACTTGGTGACTCAGGTGAAGGTTCAACATCTTCCAGAACAGGATTACTAGCATCCCGTGACTCTTCCTTCAGGAGACTTGGTGACTTTGTGATTCCATGGACATACACACTGCTGTTAAAAAGGCACATCAATATTCTAATGTGTGCAATATCAAGTAACAGGTCAGCATTCCCCTTAAACACACTGACGGAATCACACAGAGGACAGTTTTTGTATAGGACATGAACCAGACAAAGCAAAACAAAATGCAGCAGCATACATGAGATTACTGAGATGAAATTCACAGTGCTCCTTCTACAGAGAGTTCACGTGTCAACATACACAAATATTTATTATTTCTTTCACATACCATGAAAATCCAACTTCTCGCAGATATTCTATGGCAAATGGCATAAGCTTAAGCAATCTGGCTTTCATTAATGAAACCAGTCATTCAGACGCGGAAAACACTAAGTATTTTGTTGTCAATGCTCTTGCAAAGCAACTTCAACTAACAAGGATTTTGTATGAAGATCAGTATTCTGGGGTGTCATACCATGCAGTTTAGTATTAGTATTATTATTATTATTATTATTATTATTATTATTATTAACCAACATTTCTGAGAAACATGCTGCCTCCATCTTCAGGGTTTAACGATCTATGACAATACAGGGTGTGGCATCCCATGAGATGAAACAAGTCTGTGGTCTCTACAACTTTCCAGTATTATCAGTTTAGATGCATCGAAACACCTGAGGATGGCCATCTGTAGCCGAAACGTGGTGTTAGTGATAAATTGCAAATATTTCAATGATTGTTGCATTACTGGACTAAATATATAGAGGGTTAATTAAAGATGTGCAACAGAATGCTGAAATACAGAATGATATTAAAGATGTAAGGTTGGAGGGCACAGACCAGAATCATCTGGCTAAGGATGGAGATCAGTGGTGGACTCCTGTAAACACAGTAATGAACCTTCAGGTTACATAAAATTCTGGAACTTTCGAGTACATGGGCAACTACTGTCATCTCATGAAGGCCCTGCTCCATGGAGTACACTGATAATTTCCACTGCAAACTTATGAACCATTTACCACAAAATCCATTTGAAAATACTAAATAAAGTAACAAGTTTTATGAAGTGTACCTCTTCCACCTTCTTAATTTTAATCCTGCTGATTTCCTTGACGACTTCGAAGACAGCCTATCTTTCCTCGGTCGACCTGGCCCTCTTCGTAAGCTAAGTGGCTTCCCACTGAAGTGTGAATGTTTGTGCAGAGCTGTGGAACCATCATCTTGTGAAAGGGGAAAAGCTGCATCTACAAGATAGAAATAAACAACACATGAAACATGAAAAGCTGGCACAGTTAACTGAATCTTAGGTAATTTAACGACCCACTCAAATCATAAGACATGAGATAATCATGACTACTGTGTTGGGACGCAGTCAGGGCCTATTTGAAAGTACACTGCAGCATTTTCCTTGTGGGGGGGGTGGGGGCCCAGCTGACATTGAAACACAATACCTCATGAATACAATTTGTAGGATCTGCTAATAAAAGAGGTAACTACTATAGCTATAAGATATAGTTGTACGGCAATTCTAATCTAACCTCAGTACATTCAGATATGTAAATGTGAAGAGGAGGATAAAGATGATGAAAAGAAGAGGAAGAGGGGAAGAAAAGGAGAAAGAAGACTAATGCTGTACAATAATCAAAGCGCTAAACAAACTACTGCATTTAATGGTGCATTAGAAAACTACATGCAAACATGAAACAAAGAAAAAAGTAAAGGAAGTAAAGCTATCCCTGTACCAGGCCGTGAAGGCCCATAGGGTAGAGAAATTGAGGGTCTCACATTATCTAGACAATCGGCACAAAGATGGTGGTAAGATGAAACAAAGAAAAGAGAACTGAAAAAAATAAGGCCCTAAGCACTACAGCTGTGCACTTGCAAGTACTGTCTCCCTCATACAGACTACAGCTGTAACAAGGCTCACATTAACTACAGCTGTGCACTTGCAAGTACTGTCTCCCTCATACAGACTATAGCTGTAACGAGGATCACAGTACCTACAGCTGTGCACTTGCAAGTACTGTCTCCCTCATACAGACTACAGCTATAACGAGGCTCACAGTAACTACAGCTGTGCACTTGCACGTACTGTCTCCTTCATACAGACTACAGCTGTAACAAGGCTCACAGAAACTACAGCTGTGCACTTGCAAGTACTGTCTCCCTCATACAGACTACAGCTGTAACAAGGCTCACAGTAACTACAGCTGTGCACTTGCAAGTACTGTCTCCCTCATACAGACTACAGCTGTAACAAGGCTCACAGTAACTACAGCTGTGCACTTGCAAGTACTGTCTCCCTCATACAGACTACAGCTGTAACAAGGCTCACAGTAACTACAGCTGTGCACTTGCAAGTACTGTCTCCCTCATACAGACTACAGCTGTAACAAGGCTCACAGTAACTACAGCTGTGCACTTGCAAGTACTGTCTCCCTCATACAGACTACAGCTGTAACAAGGCTCACAGTAACTACAGCTGTGCACTTGCAAGTACTGTCTCCCTCATACAGACTACAGCTGTAACAAGGCTCACAGAAACTACAGCTGTGCACTTGCAAGTACTGTCTCCCTCATACAGACTACAGCTGTAACAAGGCTCACAGTACCTACAGCTGTGCACTTGCAAGTACTGTCTCCCTCATACAGGCTACAGCTGTAACAAGGCTCACAGTACCCACAGCTGTGCACTTGCAAGTACTGTCTCCCTCATACAGACTACAGCTGTAACGAGGCTCACAGTACCCACAGCTGTGCACTTGCATGTACTGTCTCCTTCATACAGACTACAGCTGTAACAAGGCTCACAGTAACTACAGCTGTGCTTTTGCAAGTACTGTCTATACTGCCCTAGTGCAGCTCAAAGCTATGACAGTAAAGTGTGCAATAACCATAGCTGTACACCAACAAGTATTCTGTCTCTCTTATACAGCCCACAGCTATGATGTTGAGGTTTGACTTAGCTATGGCTGTGCCAGAGGCATTGTACCGGGGATATGATTCAGATTAAAGGGGTACTTATGGCTGTGCACTAGCAGGCAGTGTACCTCTCTAACAAAATTCGTGACTACGACAATAACGCAGACTGTTTGCTTACTCTTTCTGACAAAACAATAACTTTTAATACATCAAATGTAGGTGAATTTTTAAATGCAGTATAGATAGGAAACAGATGTTTTGAAAATGTGGCACAGTTCAGCTATTTGCGAACAACGATAACAGATCAAAGCCTGATTCAGGAGGAAATTAAGAGGCGATTGAACTCGGGTAATGCTTGCTACCATTCAGTCCAAAACCTTTTGTCTTCTCGTTTGAAGTCTAAAAACTTAAAAAATCAGAATATACAAAACTATAATTTTGCCTGTGGTTCTGTACGGGTGTGAAACTTGGTCTCTAACATTAAGGGACGAACACAGACTGAGGTTGTTTGAGAACAGGGTGTTGAGGAGAATATTTGGACCTAAGAGAGATGAAGTGACAGGAGGTTGGAGAAAACTGCACAATGAGGAGCTTCATAACTTGTACTCTTCTCCAAGTATAATTAGAATGAGCAAGTCAAGGAGGATAAGGTGGGCAGGTCATGTAGCATGAATGGGGGAGACAAGGAATGCATATAGGATATTGGTGGGAAAGCCAGAAGGAAAGAGACCACAGGGAAGACCAAGGCATAGGTGGGTGGACAATATTAGAATCGATCTTAAGAGAGATAGGATGGAATGTTATGGATTGGATAGATCTGATTCAGGATAGGGTCCAGCGGAGGGCGCTTGTGAACACGGTAATGAACCTTCGGGTTCCATAAAATGCTGGAAAATTCTCAAGTAGCTGCTGAATTGGCGGCTCCTCCAGTAGGGCTCAGCTCCATGAGCGAGTGAGTGAGCAAGTAAGTGAGTGAGTGAGTGAGTGAGTAAGTAAGTAAGTAAGTATATTTCTTTTATAACAATATAATAAGCAAATCCATACCTTAATAGTGACTTAGTTTAATTGGAACTGTCATAAGAATGGTCCATCTGCACAAGCACATCATACAATATTTGTTAAGTATAGAACGGAGTGATTTTTTTTGTTTAACCTTTAACGGCCGAATGTTATAATTATTCGCATCAAGTAGCACCCCGAGCTGGCCGAATGTTATAATTTTTAGGGACAAGCCACGTGCTTCCTTTGTGAGTGCTGGCAGTTTGACCTTGGGTTTGAAACCCAAACAAACTCATGAACGTTCATGTCAGATGTTTATTTGTTAGCTCTGAACAATGAAATCGTTTATCAGGGTACTGGTTTCGAAACTATTTACGTTTAGATATGACTGTTTATGACCTGGTGAGCCAATAGAGGTCAGCTTTGTTTTGAGAAGTTAGAGGAGGAAATATTCGTAAGCACTTTCATAGCAGTGCTGCCAGAGCTTTCAAGGAAGTGTGG